GGTCTCTTGGATGTGGAGGCAAAAAAACAAAGAGAAACTGCACTAAATGTGAAATCTTGAATACTACAGCGACAGGCTGAAGGGCCTTTCCCTAACCATTCTCCTTCCTTGCATTGATTCACTAAGCTGAACAGCCAATCATCTCTCTCGCCGACGAAGCCTGACTAGCCGTGGAGTTTTCTGCCATTATTGTTCTTTGCTCTGGAAAAGATTTCTGATGTTTGGTGGATGAAAGGAATTTCAAATGCCAGTGCTCTTGTGGGCGGGTTTTTGCCCTGAAGTTTAGCAGCTTGCTAGTCAGATGGCGGATGTGGTTGTCCTGAACATACAGGCTGCGTGAAAAGTAACTAGGGATTAAAAAGTTTTCTGTGTGAAATATGAAATCCTATTTGCTCTCATCTATTTACAGACTGTTTTCACCATGACTCCAGTGATACTACATGTTCTGAAGCCAATTTTTAATGCCCAGTTACTTCACACTCGCCCTGTAGGACTGAGCTCTGTGATCAAAAACGTGTTGTGAACCTTTAGGGTTTTCCATTCAAAGCACATTTCATTCTAGTGGACGTCCACAGTGCAGCAGCACCAGTCAAACTGTTGTGGTAGTCTTTCAACGTGCTGTCATGATGCGTCTGAGAGTGGAGCCTTTTATCTGACAGCAGGGCAGACTCCCTGCCATCTATCATGGGGGGGGGTTGTACAAAGAGGAGGGCGACCTGGCTGTACAGTATAAGCCAGCTTTATCTACTCTGGCAAAGGCAACATAAGGTGTGGAATATCAGAGAACACAGCTCTTTATAAAGGCTGAGCTGTTGAAGTGTCCTTTTTATGTTTGCCACATTAAAGTAGGGCAAAAACAGCCAGACATACAGTAGGCTGGGACACTGATATCTCATCTCACCAACCTTAATCTCATTTGAAAACATGCTTTCCCTCACAGTTGCTTCCTGTTCTTCTGAACCAGTGATGTGCGAGTGCTGGGTCCGTGCAGTGTTACTCTGATATGTGTTAATCTCCCTGCACATCGTTGGTGTGTGTGCAGAGACCAGATCTTGGCAAATGGCTGGTTCTTTGGATAAAAAGCTGGAGGGAGGATTAAGGGGGAAAACATGGCAAAAATAATCCGTGGGCAGGTTGACGTCACGCGGCGCAGGCCAGTGTTGTAGAGGTGAGGCCGACTGTGATGACAGAGGGCAGCTCCAGGCCGCCGCTCAGCTCCTGGACACATCACGTCAGGCTGGGGGGTTGGTTTCAGTCCCTTACAAGGGAAAGCATGTGGAACTCGTCACATTAAGTGTAGTATTTCACATGTACAACGTCCAAAAGTGTGGTGCTTGTTCGTTTTATATTGAAAAGAGAAGACTAATAAGAGGATATCTATTTCTCAATGTGAAATTTATTATGCATTAACGTATCAAAATTAGCATGTATACATGGATCTTCACTGTTTAGGATAAAACAGGAAAAGACTGTCCTCAACTGGTTGGTATACAATATTTGTATGAAAAAATGCTACTATCTAATTGGTCCAAAACTGTTGGGGAGAAGCTGTGGTTTAGACTTAACTCTCCCGTCATTGGTCCCCCATTCTGGTCCGATCTCGTCCCTGGCGCGACCTTGTCCTGAAACAGACACTTTGCACAGCCCACAACGCTTCTTAGTATCTTATCAAACCTCAACTCCCCTGGCTTCAAGGAGCAGAGGGAATAATGGGCTCTTTTAGGAAAAGGCAACAAATCTAATGAAAACCTGTGGGATGATTAGACCTTGGAAAACCACTCAGTGCACCAGACTTATGATGTTGCATTAGTGTTTCAGTAACTCACACAGCAAATATTTGACCAGTGGTTAAGTGAACTCATAGAGTGATATTCATAACTATATAAGCATATCTGTGACATATAAGTATGTAAACTTATGTGTGTTATAAAATAAAACCATTCTTAAGTGCATAAAATAAAAATCACCCTAACAAAAGCCACACAAATTATATGTGAAAGGTTGTTTCTACTTATAACATCTGGAATTTCACACGTGAAGGATAACCACCTTTATTGGCCAAGTATGTTACACACAAGGAATTTGTTTCCGGTACAGAACCGATGGCAGCCATCTGCGGCGCCAACTCAACCAATGGCTCTAACCATCAGGGGTTGCCCAAGGACACTTCAACATGTGGACCACAGGCACCGAGATTCAAACCTCCAACCCTCAGATTGAGAGACGACTGCTCTACCCACCAAACCACAGTCACACTTATGAAATACTTCTAAATAACTTCTGCCTGTGTAATGTGAATTTTCTCACATGTGAAATGTCCATATGTGTGAATTTGCCTGTGGATTGATACTATATGTGAATGTGACATCCTGCTTTCATGCACAATAGACTGAAGTGACCAAACATGTGACTAGGTGTCAGTTTATTCCTCATTTGAAGCCCATTTGATCAGAAACTACATGAGAAATTAGCCTGAAACAACAATTTACAACCAATTTAACAATTTGCATCTGTGAGTCAGTTATGAATGTGTCACGTCAGATGCTGTTTCACCGTAAATTTATTATATGTAAATGTAAATTCGTGTGTGAATGACATGTACCCACAGTGGCTTCAGAAAGTGTTTTTGCACATTGTACTGTGTCGCAGCTTTAACTTTAAATGTATGAAACCGCCCTTTTGGCCCATCAGTCTACACACAGTAGCTCAGTGACAAAACGAATGTTTTTATAATTATTTTTTTGCAAATGTATTAAAAGTCCCAAACCAACATCTGCTCTAGTTCAATACTTGGACCCTTTGGCAGCTTTGGATCTTCTTGACAAGACCTGAAGATGCAGCTCACAGGCGCTTCCATCCAGTTTGATGGAAGTGGAGAGGATCTACGGGACAAATGGGATAAACTACTCCAATCCAGGTGTGCAGAGCTTGAAGAGACACACCCAGGACTTATTGCAGGGCAGCTGGCCTTAATGGATGGATGATTACTGTACTGGTGCTAACCTGCTGATCTAACACACAGGAAGTAGAGTAACGAAACGCAGCAGCTGTACATTCCCATCCTCACCAAGTGACAGCGTCCCTATTAAATATTCAGTGTTAAGTATTCTGTCAGGAGAGAAATCTGGAGCAGTTCAAGGAAGACTGTGCCAAACACTACCACCATAAATACTAGAGAGATAAATGATTACATCAAATTACTGTTCAGCACTGTTTTGAAGCTTAACCTGTAAAATTCAGCTTTCCCTTTTTATTTCGTCTTAAGTGGCTTTAAGGTCGTCAAAATCACGTTTCCACACCCGCTGACAGAATCATGAGTTGAACTCCATGAGGCTGTTTACGCGGCAATAATAAAACCAAAGCCAAGACTTCAAGTTCAGTGGCTTCACCACTCCATCAAACGGAAATATTCGAGTTGACTCAGGTGTCTTTTAATACATGTTTCCCTGAAATTCAGCTTCACAGATTTGGGACCTTTGAGAACAAACAGAGGTGGGTTTGGCTGGAAACAATGACTTTGTAAAGCCTGATCCACCAGTGAGTCAGTAGGGTTTAAAATTTCATTACAGTTAATATTTATTAGGAGTCAGGGGCGTTGTGCCTTCTGGACCTCTGCAGCTCTGTTTAGTGCACCATCCATGTTTCTCTTTGCTTCTGACCTTCCTCACTTTCCACACTTTTCTGTCATGCTTTCCCCTTGCTTTGAGGTATGTCTCTGTGTTACATATTCAGCACGATAATGAACTGCTTTCCCTTTCCCAGTGGGTCTGCTGCTCGTTTTCATGGGGAAAGTTGCCATTAGCAACAGCATGTGCCTGAATAATGTAGTACCATCTTAACTTTTCTACTTGGTGACCAAGAGACGCTGCATCATTTTACTGTTTAGGTTTGACAAACAACATAAAAATGATGGCTCATGAATCAAACACGAGGACCTGTGCTTTACACCTGAACGGTGCTGAGGCTGTGTTCCAGCACTCTAACGGTCTGTCACCTACATATAAGAACCTTATGAGACTTCGGTACCAGGTTCTCTCCCTCGTGTTTCTGCTGTTATACTCACTGAGTTGTTTCAGAAATGCGGTACACTGCTGAAGTGAAGTCGTAGAACTTTAACTGTATTATTTTTGCTCTGTGTGGACACACTGCCTCTGTCTGTTGCCACGCTCCATCCACCACCAGATGTCCTCGAACTTTCCCTCAGTTCCCAGTCACCTGACCTTCCCCACCCACTCACACACCTCTTCCCAGCTTCCACATTTGCTCTTCCACTATTCAAACAGGCCAGTTTGCACTACTTGCTGCTAGTTGGGCTGTATCAGCTGTTTCTCCTGCCTGTTCCCTGGGACTTGAACTTGCTCCTTCTGCCTGGTGTTGTCACACCTGCCAGCCTGCGGTTTGTAAGCCTCTGTTTTCATAGCTGTAGTCACAAGAGGCTGCATGTTGCTCCTCTCGGCCTGTGCTCTGTAACCCAGCAGGAAGTGTTGTGGTTGAAGATGATGATCTTGGTTTTGTTGCACATTATGCCAGTTAGGGCCCAGAACCAGCCGCAGTGTGCCAAACCAGTTGTGGGTTTTCACTTTACCACACACACACTGTATCTTGTGTTCTGTTTTCCACGTTTTTCTTCTTCTTGTCTCGGTGCCTGGCCTTGTTGGTTTGTCTAACAACTGTTCAAGTTTTTAGTGGATTGGTTCTTTGGTGTAGTTTGTTGTAGCTTACACACGGCACAGTGTTACTGTTAACCTAGTGATGCGGCAAAATGCATCCACCTTGACTTGGCCTTGACCTGAGCAGGAGCAAAGCAGAATGCACTAAAGCTGCAGGCTGCAGGATTAGTTGTCAGGCTGCTGAGTGCAGTGCATCAGGACCAGTAATGCTTTCACAGTGGAGTGCTTTGTAGAAGCATGAGAACATACAGCGTCTAATGCACCGGAGGAGCCATGCAGCAGAATCAGCTGTAAGTAATTTCCAAATGTCTCCAACTTTGTCTCTGGCAGGTTACTTAACTGTTTCCCCTGAGCCCCTTCCTCCTGTTGTCATTGGAGACACAGTCACACTCAAGTGCAACTTCCAGACAGATGGCAGCCTCCGAGAGATTGTGTGGTTTCAGGTGAGCACACAGTTTGAACGTAATGCCAACGGAACATGGTTGTGATGCTCCGTCCTCCCCACACACACTGGTCTAACATGCCTCGTGTTAGACCACTGTGGATGTATTGCATGTGTTCTTCTGGGCGGTGACTTGTAGGCACAAGCTAGTCCAGGTAGCAGTTTGTGAGACTTAAGCACAGCAGTGCTAATATCAGCAGCCTAACAAAACTCAGCGCTGTTGGGGCTGCAGTTGGCAACTGTTTTCATTGTCGAATAATTCTCTCAATGTGATCAACGAAATGCCACTAATAGTGAAAAATATCCATCATATGTTGTCAGAGTCCTTTAACAAATGTCAGTTTACAACCATACAAGACAGAGAAAAGCAACGAATGCTACAGATACACCGGAGAGGCTGGAAACCAGACTGTTTAATAATGAAAGTCAATGGCAACTTCAGTTTATTAACTGAACAATAGAAAAACAATTGAATTCAATAACTGGACATGAACTGATCGTTGCAGTCTCTGAGCACAGTTAGCGTCTTAGTTTCACCTCTTGTTTTTATTAGGGGCCCCAAAAGATGTCATGGACAAAATGTGCCAGCAATTAATAATAATTTCTGCTCTAATTAATATGTTTGCACAAATGACTAATTCCTGCTCTTAATTTATAAATCTTTGGCCTGCTCTCGCAAACAGCAGATGTTTTTGGCTTGTTGTGCTGCAGCAGAGGTCTGCAGTATGAGCTTAGTTTCCATGGCTAAAATGGTTAAATATGTTTAAAGGATCTCAACAATAAAACAACATCGTGTTTAGTTGCTAAACTCAGAATTTATTTATATATCTCTGTACAAAGATCAAAACCAAACCAATTAAATCCAGATGTTTCAAGGTGAGTGTGAACAGTAGTGAAGAGCAGATGTGGGGAGGGCCCTCAGAAAACCTGGAAGTTTGGTTTAATCTGCCATTTTGGAAAAGTGTCAAGCAAACTAAATAAATATTTCTCTAGATCAATATTCGAGCCTCAGTCTTGCGTCACAGGAAGCTTAAAGTCTGGGTTTTAGATTTACATCCACTCTTCGCCCATTTCTGGCATTTTCATAACCAAATGATGAATTAATTAATGCAGTAATTTGCATGTTAGTGCATGACTTAATGTCAAGCCTGACTACAGGCCTAGGATGGCCAGGGAGACAAAGTACAGCTGAAGATGATGAGTTCATTAGGTGTTTGTTTTGGTATTTATTAATGAACAAATACTGGACAAGGTGAAGTTGGACCTGATGAAAAGTCAGCAAATCACCAGACTTAGATTGGCTAATAAATACATGGAGTGGTTGTGCACGGCCACAGAACTCAGTGATGCTAACGCACTTTGTCCTCTCAGGTGATTGAAGGAGGCAGGGCCAAGCAGAAGATTTTCACCTATGATGCCATGTACAACACCAGTTACTCCCATGTGGAGGACAGCCGCCGACAAGCGGACCCGGTCCACCAGTCCACTGTGTGGTAAGGCGCGCTGCCACTACTGAGCAAGGTGTGTTATGTTCTGATAACCCACGTCCTTGAAAGGCAGAAAGGTTTGGAGGGACATTCAGCCTGTGGGGGAGGAGGAATTATTACCCAGTGGGATTTGTTTACCTCTGATCTTAAAAAGCTGAAATACTAAAATGAGAGTAAAACATTTGTCTGGATAGGCTTCCTGAGGTCCAGATGCAGGACGACGGCCTGTATGAGTGCCACGTGGGGATCTATGACAGGCGCTCCAGAGACAAGGTGGTCCTAGCCTCTGGCAGCATCACCCTCACTGTCATAGGTGTGTATTTGTTTCTGACATCTCACAAATATTAAAGAATAAGTTGTTAGAGGAAAAGTCTGGGCATCAGCAAACCAAAGGTATCTGTACCTGATCTCATGGCTGTCAGTCCAGTCAGTCTAGAGCGACCAATGAAAGGCCAAACCATCACCCAATCCCCAGCAGGGCCTCGTCGGGGCTGAGTCTCCAGAGCCTTGTCAGGTCTCTTCTGTCAGAGGAGGGGACCTCCTCCTTCCAAACCAGACCCCCTCACTGTGTCCGACCCTCTGTGTCCAACCCACTGCGTCGTCCTCATGAAGCCAATCAGTGACCTAGAGCTGCAGCCATGAGTCAGTTCACTGGTAGAAAATGAACCTCAGCTATTTAGAAGCAACAGTCACCGACATGTTCTGGTTCCACCTTCTTTAATGTGAGGAGCTGATGCTTTTCTTTGTCAGACATGAGAATCAGCTGAGTCTCTGTGGATCTGCTGGTTGGACACAATGGGGTGTGTGGAGACGCCACCTTTGGCTCTGGAGAGTCACAGTGGGACTTGTCTGACATTCTGGGGATAAACTGGTCAATCAGATCATCAGGACGATGATCAGCTGATTGATCAGTGGCCCTGCTGTTTTTATTTCCACTCAGTTTTTCTGAAGTTTCCCTTTGTTTGTCACCGTCTGTATTTCATTACATCATAAACTTCAAACTGCCAGTGGTGCTAGAGAAGGCGTCCTCACAGTCTCAGCTCAAGTCATCACCAGCACATTGACTCATCATTTAACTGATGGTTTTTGTTTCATGTTTCTTTGTATTTTCTCTGCAGTGCCTCCAAAGTCTATCTCTGTGGTGGCAGCCAACAGCCCCGCTCCTTTCAGCCGCTACGAGGCCCAGAACTTCACTCTGGTCTGCATTGTTACAGGAGCCAAGCCAGCTCCCATGGTGAGATGGAGCCTTTTCACTCTTATCTCTCTTGAGGGACTCAGCCTCCGTAATTGAATCTGTGTCACTGCTTTGTGTGTTAGAAAGGAAAGCACCGTGATCCATCCATCCATTTATGATCATGGAAAACGACTCTAAAATCTTTTAGAATCCTGATGTAATGAAAGAGGACACTTCTACAGTCACTGCAGGATGAAAGTGGTTCAGTGATAGCCTGGCCTGACGCTGCCTGCAGCAGCTTCAAGGTTTGAGATGAAAAAAGCTTTTTACAGCTTTGCCCTGTGGCCTCTGGGAATTATCATCAATGGCTTTGAGGATAGTGCATATGCAATGAAATCAAAACTGAGGCGAACATATCAGACCGATGGAGGGGAGCAGTACACTACAAACCCGATTAATGTTCTGTTCTCCATTTCTATCAGTATTTATCTACTGACTTCCTGTTCAACAGCTGCCTGTTTAATCAGGGTCACCTCTACCCAGCGCTGGGTTAGTGTAGCTGTTCTAAATAATGAGCATGGCAGACGCTGGTCACATGACCACATGTTCTGAGCAATAAACAGGATCAACGCAGCAGCATCCAGCTGTCACACAGATGCCTCTAGTCCTCTTGAATGTGGGTTATTCATACTCCTTTGTTTGGATATTATCAGAGATAATGGACACAAACCATGCTGACATATCTACAATCAGAGGAAGACTCTATGGCAAACGTCTGCTGTTTCATTGTATAGCTGACATGTTCTCAGCTGCACAGCGAAGAAGCAGGAGCTCTGTGTTGTCTGTGCACCGCTGACTGAGGTTTCAGTACAGACACACCTTCTTCAGAGCTCAGAGAACAGCATGAGTCACATTGTATCTAAAGCTGTCAGGGCACCCAGAAGATGGTCCACCTCAAAAGGACAGTCGCCATAAATAACATCTCACAGGATCCACTGTGAAACAACACGGCTCATGTGTCCTTCAGGCCTGCACACAGTGAACGGTGTAATCTGGGCAGAGAAACCACAGCGAGGGGCAGATACCAACAGCGAAAGTGTTGGTGCACGTAAGGAATACACTTCTATAAGAAGTGCACAAAAGTAGAAAATCCATGATGTCCTCTCTAAGAGATTTAGCAACAAAAGACTAGTAGTACAAACTAGAAACCAGAAGAATAATCGGGCCTAACCCTGATTTCTACACACGTACATGGGCTAGTGACAGACTTACTGAAATGGCACCTGACAAAGCGGTAAAAGGTTCCTGCTGTAAGGATACAACCTGCAGCTGAAGGAATAAAGTCTGTGCCGCAGAGGCAGCTGCTTCTGATTGTTTGCTGTCATATCACATGCTGTATGTCAGAAATAACAGTTTCCCTGCCAGTGAATGATAATGTGACACGAAACTCTATCGTAATAGTCTACTGATACACCAGTAGTCTGATCTGAGCTCAGGTCGAGGCTGGGTCTGTCCTGCCAGCTGGGCAGCAGCTGGCACATCCCTCAGTGTGGATGCTGGTACACAGCACTCTGTGAGGCCAGCACTACAAGTCAGGATCACACTGCTCATAATAAGAAGTCAGCAGCTAGTGCAGTTAGTTAACTTGTGGCTTCTCACCTGTCTCTGTCCCTGTCTCCCAGGTGTACTTCAAACGGGATGGGGAGCTTATCGATGTGGTGCCAACTGCTCAGGCTTCTTCCTTAGGAGGAGACCAGAGCAAGGCCCCTGCTCATGAAAAGAGCCAGGCTCAGAGCCAGGCAGGGCTCTGGAGCTCCCCAGTTCTCGCCAGTCAAGACCTTGATGACACCAAGCTGCGGAAGTCTCTGTCCCTGCTGGAAGAACGGGGGGAGCTGGCTCGGCTGGGCCAACACGGCCCCAACAGCCCCGAGCAGGGCCGAGAGCAGAGATCCGACTCTGAGCCCAAGCCGACCACAGAGGCGATCCTCGAGACGGTGGTGAACCGAGAGTTTCCCCACTGGGTCCAGAGCAGCGACCCGCTCTACTACTTCGAACACGGGCAGCAGGTGGCAAGTGACGGGATCACAGAGGTGAGAGCTCTGCTGACCTGGAGCCTGAACCCGCAGCTGGACAACGAGGCGCTGTTCAGCTGCGAGGTCAGCCACCCGGCTCTGTCCATGCCCATGCAGGCCGAGGTCACACTGGGTGAGTCCCGCTGTAACAGGCTGTTTCCACTTAATCTCTGACTTCACTGTAAAGCACAGTCTTTATTTACTGTAAAACAAACACACAAGTAGAACAGAATGATAACAGTGACCAAAGTAAACCGGCCCGTGGATCCATCCTGTAGCACTCCTTACATTTGTGTGGCACAAAAGCAACATGATGGCTGATGCTCATAAACCAGATGAACTCTGATTTGCATATAGTTAAAAGGCTGTAGATTTATCCAAACAACAGACTCGGCTTCCAACTTAGCAGTGCACTCCTCCAGGTTCGAGTTCCTGTGGGTGGAGCAGTGACGGAGAGGTGTGAGGTTTAGGCTCAGCTTCCTGTTGCTGGTTAGAATAATACACTGAAGTCAGATGTGCTCCCAGGGCTCCTGACAATCAGCTGAAGCTAAAGGCGTATAATTACAGCTGGTGAGGTCCAAACTGCACTGTTTGGAGGAGAAATGCAGGAGGCAGGCCGCTGAGTCTGTTAATCCAAAGTGAACTGAGAACAGTAAGTGGGTCACGCTGAGCCTTCAGCACAGTTTGTGCTGCTCACACTCAGAGGAGGTGCACATGGAGTTAGCTGAGCAGGTTGCTCCATTCTGTGGGAGCCACTGTACTGTTGACTTATTATTCACACACCTGAAGGTTGAGTTTTTTACAGTACAACAGCAGCCCAATGTGTTCTTTGTCACAGCTGCTCCCACAGGACCCAAGCTGTCCCTGAGCCCCAGTAAGGCCAAGGTGGGAGACACGGTGCGGATCACGGTGCAGGGCTTCCAGCTGGGACTGTTTGTGGTGAGTGTCCACACAGTGTAGGAGACAGTTCAGTACCAAAGGCAGAATACAAGAGGCACTCTCTTGACCACTTCTCACTGCGCATACATGATTCTTGGGATCGAGTTCCTTCCTCCCAGGTAGCAGCTGATTTCAGTTCTTCCTGTGCACCTTGAAAATAAACGTGAGTCATGTTTTGTTGAGCGGCACCGTGAGGCTGTTGCAAACAGGGATAATGTTAAAGCTCTTCACACTGGGTCAAGGGGACTGAAATGTGGGAGCTCCGAGGTGCTACTTGGCGTTCTAAGGGACTCTGTCAGTGCAGTGGTATTGACATCAAGCATGAGACATTCAGTTAATATAACCACGCTAGAAAAGTAAGTTGTGTCCTTTCAATATGTGAATGTTACTAGTGGCACTGAACACATTTAAGGTCAGAGCTCATTAACCGTCAGAGTGGGTTCACATTCAGAGTTTATCCAGGGAGTGGACAACGTGGAGGTGCAGGGTTTAGATGGACTAACATCCTCAGCACATTCTGATGAAAGCACTTTCACTCCTCTAGCAAATATGTCTGCCTCCAAAATATATTTACATTAAAATACATTTAGGGATATTTCGCAAATTGGTTTTTATTGTCGCTGCCAAGTCTGTTCCAGGTTTTTTTAGGTAAACTGTTCATTAACACAAACCTTGTCACCAGGCTGCTGGACTTACTTCAGGTAACATGTGGCACTGTATCATGTCGGTTTGGTATTAATCCATACTACGTTCCTTATTATCCACAAGCTGTAACCTCGCTTATGAAAACAATTGGTGTCAAACTGCTGATTGGACTGAATACCACATTATTATTAGTCTGACCTTATCTCTCTACCCATCAGTCCGTTCTTCAGACTGGGGCAGGTCCACCACAGTATTATCGCTTCTATTATGAAAACCTCTGATGTGAAATCAGTATTTTCTCTGCTTGTTGTTGGTCAGAGACGACCACAGCAGCTGCTGACACAGAGATGACCCGCAGCTCTGTGTGTGTGTCCGCAGAGCGAGGTCTTCCCTGAGCCCATGTTCACCTGGACCAAGGTGGGCGGACGTCTGCTGGATGGCAGAGAGGAGCACGACGGCCGGGAACTCGTTCTGGAGAGAGTCCCTGCTGAGCTCAACGGCTCCATGTTCCGCTGCACAGCCCAGAATCCTCTGGGCTCCACAGATACCCACACCCACCTCATTGTGTTTGGTGAGTCTGTTTGGGTGGGGGGATGTTTTTATCGCTGATGCATTGTGCTGACAGTGAATGTTTTGCGTGTTCTTGCAGATAGCCCGGGACTGAAGAAACATTTTACAGGTAAGTCTCTGTGGTCGGTTCAGGTACTGTGGCAGAAACCATGAGGGTGACCACACGGGGCTGCTTCCAACACTTTATACTTATAGAAACTTACAGCACAGTGCTAATATATGGAGCCCTAAAGTGTTCAGTACTGAAGAAATGAGCAATTACAAAATGATAATCACATTAATACATTGTGCAAAATATATAAATGAAAAAATAATTAGCTACTGCACTACTTTTACCTGACAGCTGTAGTTAGTGTTTCGTTAACATTTTATGGAAAAAACAACCAGATAAGCTTTTAAAGTAAGACAGAATCTCTTGTCAGGTTTCAGTCGTCTGAGTTGGCAGCAGTTCCATCAAGGAGACGTTTCTTTTCTAAACAATTATATAATTTTTCATGGCCAAAACTGGTAAAATTCATCTTTCAGAAAAAGCCAAAGCACAAAGAATAACTGCTGTGCAGAGCTTGTACTGGTTCCCTTCTCTCCCATTAATCCAACTCGTATGTCGGGTAGGTGTGTTTCACCAGCTACAACATTTAAATGCTACATGTGAAGGGAGGTGTTGATTTTAAGTCTGATAATGTTGGTGTGTGACAATTATGTCAGTCAAGCAGCTGAATACTTTTGATATACTGAGTATATTTTCTTGATGGTGCTTCTGGTCTTTTAGGATTTTGAATGCAGGACTTTTACATGTCAGATTATTTATAGATTGTTGGTACTTTTGCTTAAAGGATAGTGTTGTGCTTTTGTATGTTTGTGTTACTGTGGACAAACCCCGTCCAGAGACCAGCAGCCCCAGTGAATGTGGTGTCCTCACCGTAATGTGTGAGAGTCCAGGCCCTGGTCCAGCTTATCGCTCTGGGCCGTGGACCTCCACTGTTGTCCACCAGCTGTTAAATCCCCCGTCCTTTGATGTGCCTTTGGACCATGTCAGTGTCACGGTGTAGTGTGCATCTCCGAGACTCCAACAGCGCTCTCTCTTGTTTGTGTGCAGCCACTGATGCAGCTGTGAGCCGGCGCTCCCTCACATTCACCTACATGTTGCTGCTGCTAAGCTCCACTTGTGAGCTGACGTGACCCGAGGCTCTGCTGCTCCTCCACACGCCACCACCCAGAGCTACCTGCTTTATACTGTTCCCTCTGCACAGACTAAACCTCCACCCATGTGTTGTCAGCAGTGGTCAGCACTGCTGCAGCAGGACTGGAGCCCTGGGAGAGAGGACAGACACAGGACAAAGACCGAGACACTGTACAGTGACTCTGCCCCCGGATTGCTACACGCTGACTGAAGGGAGTTTGTAAGAGGATGCACTGTAGCGTACTAAGAGAAATCTCAGAGGTACTGTGTATGAGGTGACCTATGAAACTCTGCAGGGTTCACACTAGACTGCAGGCGGCCAGTCAGCATACGTTAGTGTAGTTTGATCCCCACCCTGACAGGTTTGTATAAGCAACATGAGAATACAGCCGATACTGTACGTGTTTTGGTTTATAGAGGTCCCACACAGGGAGTGCTGCAGGTGTGGTGCTTTATTTAAAGCAGTGTCCATGTAAACATTATCTTGCAGAATCACAGGCTGAGGCTTGTCCTGGACTCCACTTCTGCTCTATTACACATCTCAGCTCAAGAAAATCTTACGCCAAACCAAACCCAAAGCTCTGCACATGAACATGTAAGTCTTCAACAAGTTGTGTAAAAGGTAGAGCCTGGTCAGAGGTACTGTACATCCCCACTGTCCCTCAGAGGAGAAAAGAACACAGGGCTCATTATAAAAGCACGTCTGATAGTGACAGGCAGCTCCAGGATGTGAGAGGCGCATACAGCCTCAGTCTCTTATGCACAAAATACAGTTTGTAAAGGCAGACTGTTACATTTCACGTTATATCAGCGTCTGTTCTGCTCCATACTTCATAATTAATACATTATGTACACTGATTTATAGTAAAGCTATTTATAGTTCAGTCTATTCACAAAGGGAGGACACCCGTAGGATATGTGAACCAGTGTGTTAGTGTTTTCTACATATACACAGCCTTATAGATTTCTTTTTTATATCCTGTACATGTTTGTACTATGTCAAACGTCAGGTCATGTGACTTAAAGTGCACAGGTGACTGTTACCTTTACTGCTGCTTGTCAAACTCTAAGTATACCTGAGGCCTATAAGAACCAATAAAAACCACCTTCCAAGGTGCTAAGAAAAGTTAGTAACCCTTCAGACGCCTTCGTAGAAAGTCAGCCGATCAGGACTCGAGCAGTAAGCAGTCCTCATTCTCACTGGCCGGCAACATGAGCTGCTGCTCGTAGTACAGACTCTTTGCGTAGTTGATTTCTTGAGAGATTTTGATGGCGAGACTCTCACTCTTCACATGGACCTGTGGAGATGATTGGTCCAAGATTAACACTTACAGACGCTGATCAGACAGATGAGCGGATGATCCCTGTTGATCGTTGATTTTGCTGTGTCTAACCTGAAAGTGTAGCGTGTGCAGTGCGTAACATCTCGCGTGCAGGCCACAGGAGGCTTGCACTCGTGTTTACAACAGGCGTGTTCCCTCGTGCATTGGAAGCACTTGTATGGAAGCATGAGTAACGCATGAAATGTGGTTTGTTCACCCTTGAAGGTTTTGGTTGGGATCTGCTTCCATACAAGTGCTGCTAGTGCGCGAGTGAACACGTCTGGTGTAAAGATAAGTGCAAGCCTCCTGCCACCTGCACGTGAGATGTTACACGCCGCACATGTTACACTTTCAGTTTAGAAAATGATTCTTACAACATTTGTAGAGCTTCTTTTTAAAAGTCTCACCATGGGTTTCTGGTGGGAGGGGCCAGGAATGGCGACACCACTGCCGGTACTCTCAGCCTTCTTGGTGAGCTGCACATACACCTTCCCATGATCCTTAGAGACCAGACAGTGGTAGAGGTCATCATACTTGACCTCCAGGAAGATGGCCTCACGGTCCACGTAGTCCCCCGGCTTCAGGAAGTAGACCACTTTGGAGGAGATGAGGACGCAGTAGCTGTCGATGGGCTCCACAGCGATGAAGCTGTCAAACAGAAAACAAGTCGGTCTGAGGGAAGTGCAAGTAACCTGGGTATCAGACACGGTGAGAAGAGTGAGACTCACTACTCGGAGTGGATGTTGTCGGTGAGCTGGAAGAGCTGCTCCTGACCGTCAGCCTGTACAGCCAAGTAGCGAGGCAGCAGACCCTGAGGTCCCTTACAGCAGCGAGGCTTCCGGACGCGCTGCACACCGAGCCTGAACAACGCAGCAAGAACATACACTTTACACCTGGTACACAGCGCTTACTGTACAAGCAGGACTTGATAGTTTTGGTGACATCCAGAGTCGCAGCCTGGACCCACCTGTGGTTACTGAGACTAGCCATCTCCCGGACCGTTTGCGCCGTCTCTGAGGCGAAGTCCAGAGCCCCAGCCACCGGCTTGGTCACTGTGCCGACCAGACCTTTACCCAGACCTGAGAAGAAGCCGCTGACTCCGCCCTCTGTCTTCACCCCCTCCACTGTGGAGGTGATGATGCTCGTCATACCTCCAATGATACCTGAGGGAGGGGGAGGTTATTTCTAAGAACACAAAAAGCTGCAGACACAGTAGCTTTGTTTAAGGTTAGTCAGACTGTTGTGCGCTGCCCCTCGCTTTTTAGCAGTTACAGTGTGTAATTAGCCAGATTGGTTGGTGACAGAGGCCCCCGGTTTCCACTCACTAGACGGTTTTTTTGCCCACCCCCATGGAACTGCTGTAACTATACCCAGACCCAGAAAGGTTTCCAGGCTGTACCATGAGCCAGTCCATGGATCCCTGCGATCAGGTGCTCTCCGCTGGTGGCCCCGTGGTATCTGATGTACTCTCGCTCAGTCTGGTGCCGGTTGTCCATGGTTTTCCCCAACCCATCTGATAAAGTCCCTGCAAACTGATGCACACAACAGGATGTTCACACTACATGACTTCTACTTCACATGCTTTTAGATGCTTGTGCATATTCAGGAGCGGACACAGCAGCAACACCTGTACAGCTAATGCAACAATGCCACAGCCTAGCAATACATTTAAATAAAGGTTTTTGCAGCAAAAATACAGAGCACAGCACAAAAAGCCACCAAACACAAAGCAGCGTTAGGCATACACAGAGGCGTACCTTAGCAGCGGAGTTGGACACACCGTGGGTCACGTTACGGATGAGACCGCCCACGTTGCCGTACCTGATGAGCTCAGACACGCCCTCACTGACGTCATTGAAGAGGCCCATTGGGTTTCCCAGGAAGTCTACGGAGCCCAGGATCTGAGCTGCCTGACTGATCAGCTCCTACAAATGAGAAAGCGACACAGTTCTGACCTGACACAAACCAGACAGTCTGCCACATCATGACACACCTGTGTGTGTGATATGTGTCCATGTAGCTGCTCACAGGTGATGGAAATGATCTTTCCTTTGCATACATCTAATACAAATGATGCAGACTTTACAGCTGAGTGCAGTTAGTTGTCCAGCTCTGTCTACTGCCTCAGTCGACTCTAACCGCCTGCTGTGATTAGGAATTTAGCTGTGACACATTAGTTTATGATGGGTCAAGCTGCTTTCACATAGAGCATGAACTCCAGACAGTGGCCTGCATAAGGTCAGGATACTGAGTTGCCCTTTCACACATGTAGCACACAGCAGGAGATGGTCTGTGTCAGACACGTCCTCACCTGCTGGAAATAATGTGATAAATGCATCATCTCCTTTCTGTTGTATCTGTAGTTTGTCCCAAACAGGGGGAGCATTATAACAACACACTAACGGTTCCTATGAATCAGTTGCGAGGGAAATAAAAAAATGTTCATTTTAAAAAGTCCCAGTGTTATTCTCTGGAGCTCTGTAGGTGTTCTCTAAGAAGGGCTGAAATAAATGTTTCAGTGTGTCACCGTCAGCTCTGATCCAAGTTCTGTAGTGGCCTGATGTTCAAAGCAGCCCTTCCTAATGCGCTTGATTGAAGTGTTTGGCACTTTACCTCTCTGAAGTGCTTGAGGATGTCATTGATGATGATCTCCTGGGTCTCGTAGGGGTGCACTCTGGTGAACGGGTACATGTTGATGACAGCATCCTCAAAGCGAACCAGAGGAAAGCCCAGGGTGCCTTTCAGAGCCTATAGCATCAAAAATATCTCTATGAAGAACATGAAAGCAGAGCTGGGAGAAAGTGAGTGACAGCAGTGGGACTTCTTGGTATTTGGAGACAGAGAAGGGCTCCAGAGGGTCCATGTCAGGTTACCTTGAGGTCAGGAGGCAGCTTGTGAGAGGTAAAGCTGCTCAGTTTGACCTGAGGGAGGCTGATCTTCAAGTTCTCAAAGTAGTAACGTTTCAGGGGTCCTGCATTCTCGTTGGGTTTCTCGTAGAGGTTTTCATCCAACTTCTCCAGCTCTGCACTCAGCACAGCTATGATTTAATTTTTAATTTTAAGCCAACACTCCCTGCTTACTCACACAGACATGAATGGTGGCATTCAGCTCAGGACCTACCAGCCTCTATCTGTCCGTATCCAAAGAAGCTGAGCAGCTTGAGCAGCAGTTTCTCTTCAATGATGACTGTGAAGCGTTGGGCCGTCACCATGAGGTGCTGTGAACACATCAGGGTTATATCAAGTGTCACCTTGTCTGGTTTGCACAGGAAACCAGGAAGTATCTGGTCCTCGACAAAGTCTACGGTTTCTGTAGTGTGTGTTGATTTCTTGTTTCATGTAACAATATCAGCGTGAATACAGTGCGCGACACACACACACACACACACACACACACACACACACACACACACTCACCTTGAAGAGATCAGTGAGCATAAGGCTGCTGGGGACCTTGACAGAGTTGACCTGCAGGGCGGGGCCGCTGTCACTGGAGCTGGGGGTGACACACAGCATCACAGGGTGGGTGGTCCCCAGCAGCTGGTTGTCCACCTGATGACAACACGACAAACCGCGCTTTAGCACAGCACAGTCTTAAGTTAAACTGTATATTCACAGGAAACTTCTGGATCAAACCAGCAGTGTGTGTGGGCAGCAGTAATGCAGCAGCAGGGGCAGTAACGCTGGCATGAACCTGTTACTATGTGCACTATGATTAGTGTGGTAAAGAGACAAGTCAGCATGTTGACAACCAGGTGACTTGACTATTCAGCTGATCAACATCTAATGCTTCCTGGGGTCTGCTGATAAGCTCAGAGGGTCTTTCTGCCACTGGTCTTCAGTGGTTTGAAGCTGCACAACCAAAATTTCATAGTCGCCCTCACTGACTTTTGCTCCGCCTACTCTGTGGGCTCCCTCTTTCTACCCTCTCTGCCAAATTCAGCAAAATGCCTGGAAGCTCACCTGGATGTTCTGAATGCTGAGCTCCAACACCTCGTTGGCAGCAGTGCGAGTGAAGTGCACATCTATACCAGACAGTGTAGTGAACACAAGCTCCTCTGGGACCTTGTTGACCAGAGACACACCCAGACCTTCATCCAAGTTCACCAGCACCTGGAAATAGACACAAGCTGGTCATAGACAAAGTGCACATAACAATCCGAACACTCCATGAGCTTCAGCAGCTGGTAGCACATACACGTGTTTTAAATATAACAAGTAAAATAAGGAACAAATGTGATTAATACATTAAAAACAAGGAACAAGTGTGGGTTCATGAATGCATCATTTAACTATGAGGGATTTTTTCACCAGACATGAAGGTCAGTGACAAACCACGGTGCATGTAAAACGTACCTCCAGCTCCTGCTCAGGCTCCCTCTTCACGTCGTCTCTGCTCTGGTCCTGCTCTGTGCTGGGGGAGCTCCAGACCGGCCGCCTCTGGTTGAGGTCACTGATCTACAAACAGGCACGTCAAACAAAAGTCTCTAAGTAGAAACATGAGGTTCACCCTGACACGACAGGCTGATCGACAACTCTGTAGTAAAGGTCCTCAGCTGCTGATAACTGCTTCCATGCTCTTTATGTACTTTATTACTATATTACTGACAGAACAAAAGTACGGCAGACAGAGCACAGAGTGAGTGGAGGTATAGAAATGAAAAGAAAGCACTGGCTACCTGAAGGGCAGATAACATACATTTACACTATATTACCCTTTAGATGGGCCTAAAGTAGCACCATTTGTTTTATTACCACCAGGTCTCTGAGCGGTCAGGCCACAGAGGAGGAAAAAGCCCAGACAGGTAATACACATTCACCAGAACAAAACCCCTCAAAGTGTGGCTCAGGGACAGGGCTTTTACTGGTGACAGATTAGTTTTCCTTTTGAGTTGTACTGGGTCTCATTCCCACCTGCAGGACCCGTGTGGGTCCGTCTGGCAGCACCTGGACCGACAGCACACCAGAACCAGGTCTCATTTTCTGGTTGATGAACAGCTGCTCAGGGCCAGGCTCCAGCAGCCCCGAGTCTGGTCCCAGCACCACCTCTGATCCATCATAGAGTCCGGCCACGCCGCCCTTCACCTGAAGGTCACAGGTCATACATTAAAAATAAAACTGAAGAGAACGACTGCAGAGAAACTCTAGCAGAACAAACGTGAGTGTGCACAGTATTCTCTGTTCCTGAAACTCAGTAATGACGTTTTTCACAGTATCACATAGCTCGGTGTACCCACCTGCACCACCAGCCGGGTAAGGACACAGGTCAGCATGCCTGAGCTGAAGTACCACGTCTGGGTGGTGCTGCGGCGTGAGTCGGGCCTCCTCAGCATCAAAGGCTCAAAACTAGAAGAGACAAAGACGCAGGAGTCCTCAATGACAGACCTCACCGACTAAATGAATCGGTCGTTGGGTTGAGCTGACAGACACTGTACAAACCTGTTGTCGCTAACAGCCGCGAGCCCGGCGATGTCCAGCACCAGAGAAGAGTCCAGTGGGCGTGGCTGGGCCGGCTTGCTCTGCGGTGGAGATGAGCCCTCGTGACATAGCATGCCATTGCCCGTCATCCTCCACAGCTGGGAGCGCTTCCCTGGCTCCTGCACAGCAGCCACATCCATGTTAGTGCACACTCACTAATGCGCTCTGCTTTGTTCCATAAGACGCAACTTATTGTTTTCGCAATAAGAGATTTTATCATCTCTTACTCTGTAAAATGCTAGAAAACAGTGCTAAAGCCAAGCAGTTACCCAAACGTGTTGTCTCATCAAAAGTCAGATATTCAGTTTACAGTCACGTTAAGCACCGAAAAGCAACTCACGCTCACGCTGTAGAAAGTTGAACCAATGCATATCTGGCAGCACTGTGTTATTTCTTCTTCCCCTCCAAACAGTCATGACAGTGAGGGTTTAAAAAGTCAGTGTTTGTTCATTCTGGGTTATACTTTTGTATACTTTTGTACCTTCTTTTTCAGGATGACCCTCTGAGTCTTTGTGTCCACATCGAGAACGAGTTCAGCACAGCTCACCAGACGCTTCATTCCAACAGGTCTCTTCTCGGCTTCCCTGTGTCAGCAGAAGGATGTTGCCAACTTTTAAGACATTAATTATAACAGGGTATCATTACGTTAGAGTCATGACCCCTTACTGTGAGAAAGTGTGCGTGGCTGCGATGTAGATGAAGTTCTCATAGTAGAGCTTGTTGTATTCTCTGAAGAAGTTCATGTCGGCCGTGACCTCGGAGGATCCGGCTCCCTTCACAGTCAGCGTGAGGTAGGGGGGCAGGGTGGGCTCGTCGCAGGCGTAGTCCAGCATCGAGCCCGCCTTCACCTCTGTGTGCAGCCGGATGTCAGCCACACCGTGCTGCCAGAACTGGATAGGCACCTGAAGGCATTCAAACAGCAGCTTAATGTGACTGGATGGTTTCTAGTTGGCAACATTTTCCCATTTTTAATTTACATTTTAATGCCCCCCTTGTAAGATTCAGACCGTTTGTTAGGTTGTCTAACAGTGTTCAGAACTCTCTCTCTCTCTCAACATCAGAACCAGAGGCGTGTCTATCTGGCACCTTTTCTAACTGTGAAACAAAAAGTCCAATAATCCAACACATGCCACACAGTGACTGGCCAGGTGTGTGGGGCTGTGATGTAGGCAGGGCCTGAACTCTGCTCTCTGAACGTGGAGCTTGTAGCTCTGAACAATGAATGACATCCACACTACCAAGGCGGAGAGATCAGGGACTCCACTAAGTGATTCATGTTACTGAAGCTGATGAACTGTTGCTCACCTCAGAGATGTTGTCAATGCGGAAGGGTGGAGGCAGCTGGTCAGCGTCGTTGAAGGAGACCTGGTAGGTGGCTCCCTTCAGGCTGATCTCTGTCCGCAGGAAGAAGCAGTTCCCCAGGGTGTCCCTGCTCAAACCAAGAGCCGTTAATAAACCTGTCAAATAACTCACTTCGCTCACTCAGTCACAACTGAGTTGGTGGGATGCGTTTTTGTTTCATAGCATGGAAAAATAACCACCGTATCCTGAGACACTGTCAAAAAGTTGACATATGCAATTTCCTGATGGACCGGCTGAGGGTTACATTTATACTAAAAAGGTAACTGGACTCAGCTTTATAGTGAAACGATCTTTATACTGTATATGATGTAGGAGGATGAACTGTCCAAAAATCAGAACAAAAGGTGTATTTTCAAACTATTATGGCGCTGACCTCATGTTGACGTGGAAGGACTTTGGTTTGTTGACCTCGAAGCCGCCAGACCAGGTGCAGTTTGGCGTGTCCATGAGGCGCACACACAGCAGCTGGTCGTAGTCGTTGCGGGGCCAATGGAAGACAACGCTGGAGCCCGGCAGGGTGGAGATGTAACCCTCGGGGTTGGCAGTACCCTGGGACAAACGTCTGCATTAATGACGTCGATCAGAGCGGACTCTACCGGTGAAACTGAGCAACAGGCTACAGACAGAGCGTTCTTAAAACAAAGATTTTCATTTGATGACTGAAACAGAGCAGAGTTTCTGACTTATCAAACAAAGATCTCTGGTTCCAGGGCCCTGTTGGGTATACGGGTTCACTGGGATCACTCACTTCATCATTAACTTATTCACAGTAAGTTCATTTATTTGGCATTTTGCCTTTGAATAAGTCCCATTTCCACCAAAGGAACTTCTCCCCCCCCACCATGAACTTTGAGGTAGAAACACACCTTAGGACAAAGTAGGTCAACACAGAAATGCAAACAGGAAAGGATGGAAGAGAACAGGAGGAGCAGGAAACAAAGGTTGTGATCGGTGTATGAGGTGTGAGCCTAAACCAGGAGGCTCCAGTTCATTTTGAAAGTCAGTTCTTTACCTTTCCTCTGGCAAACTCTCTCTGAGCGAAGGCCAGTTTGTGAGTCGAGCGGTTGTCCAGTAGGTAGCGTGGGGCAAAGGTCACTATGTGAGTGTCCCTGTAGCGTCCCTTTCCTTTCCGCACACTGACGCCTGTGTTGATCAGACAGGCAACAATGAATACCTGACACATTTTTACTCATAATGCAACAGTAGCAACAGAGACATTTCAGCTCTTAATATCAAACTGTCAGAAACTGGTGATGATGTCCACTGTATCTATAGTGTAGTGCACATGCATCGATGTATCAGTGCCGTTTGGACTGAGTGTGAATGCACCAACTGGCCTATGTTGTAGATGAGGCCAGGCCTGTTCCCGTGCTGGATAACTTTCACCGCCCTGACCCCACTCCCTCCGTCCAGGGAAAAGCCCTGGCACCAGCCTGGAACTCCGTCTGGGTGGATCCCTTTTCCGATCCGCATAGTACACCTGGGATCAGGACAGATCAATAAACACACCAGGAGGGGTTCTGCTGGGTAGAACCGATGGTCTGGTCTCTGACACACACTTACATAGCAGGCTGCTCCTTGTCAGTGTAGCAGAACAGCAACGGGCTGAGGCTCCGGGCCAACTCATGCTCCTCAAACTGTCCTGCAGCATCAGTTTTGCCATTGTCCTGACGGAAAATTAGCGGCAGACCTAAGGGAGGAAATGGCTTTAGGGAACAAAGAAGCCAGTTCTTGAAGTTCTTTTTTTCTAGCTAATAACAAAGCTGGTATTACCAGTCTTGTTGATAAGCCAGTAGGGGGCAGAAATGAGGATCTTCAGAGCACCCTGTGCTCGCAGGACGATGCGGATGGTGAGGCAAAGCAGACGTTTGTTGGTGTCGTACACCCTCATGCGTACCACATAGTTCTGGGTCCCAGGAGGAATCAGCAGCTCTTTGCACTCGGAGAAGTTCTCCAGCAGGACTCCTGACAGACACACAGCATGAACAACCGGAGTGAGGACTAGGGAAATGCTCAGGAAGGAAACTGCAGTTTGGTGGGTCCTGACCTAGCTCCATGTTCTGCGAAGTGTCGGTGGCGTGAAGCACGGCCTCTTTCCCCGGCTTCAAGGAGCCTCTGATGGACGTTCCTTTGATGTAGAAGCTGAGGTCACAGGGCAGAAGATTGGCCAGCACCATGGTGGGCAGCAGGTAGATGGTGTGGCCTGGCTGTCGATAGATCTCCTGTGAACTGCCAGAAACCTTCTTGGCTGGCAGCTGGTCCGGGTAGTTCTCCTTTTTGATGATGACACAAAACCTGCAGGACGCAGGGAAGCGAAGGCAATGGAACCAGATGTGACGAAGACACAAACAAACACCAAAATGTCAGAGCGAATGTTTTTACCTGAAACTACTCTTGACGTTGTCGTCGAAGTCCGCGGACTGACACTCCCTCTTACAATAAACACACCAGGAGGGGTTCTGCTGGGTAGAACCGATGGTCTGGTCTCTGACACACACTTACATAGCAGGCTGCTCCTTGTCAGTGTAGCAGAACAGCAACGGGCTGAGGCTCCGGGCCAACTCATGCTCCTCAAACTGTCCTGCAGCATCAGTTTTGCCATTGTCCTGACGGAAAATTAGCGGCAGACCTAAGGGAGGAAATGGCTTTAGGGAACAAAGAAGCCAGTTCTTGAAGTTCTTTTTTTCTAGCTAATAACAAAGCTGGTATTACCAGTCTTGTTGATAAGCCAGTAGGGGGCAGAAATGAGGATCTTCAGAGCACCCTGTGCTCGCAGGACGATGCGGATGGTGAGGCAAAGCAGACGTTTGTTGGTGTCGTACACCCTCATGCGTACCACATAGTTCTGGGTCCCAGGAGGAATCAGCAGCTCTTTGCACTCGGAGAAGTTCTCCAGCAGGACTCCTGACAGACACACAGCATGAACAACCGGAGTGAGGACTAGGGAAATGCTCAGGAAGGAAACTGCAGTTTGGTGGGTCCTGACCTAGCTCCATGTTCTGCGAAGTGTCGGTGGCGTGAAGCACGGCCTCTTTCCCCGGCTTCAAGGAGCCTCTGATGGACGTTCCTTTGATGTAGAAGCTGAGGTCACAGGGCAGAAGATTGGCCAGCACCATGGTGGGCAGCAGGTAGATGGTGTGGCCTGGCTGTCGATAGATCTCCTGTGAACTGCCAGAAACCTTCTTGGCTGGCAGCTGGTCCGGGTAGTTCTCCTTTTTGATGATGACACAAAACCTGCAGGACGCAGGGAAGCGAAGGCAATGGAACCAGATGTGACGAAGACACAAACAAACACCAAAATGTCAGAGCGAATGTTTTTACCTGAAACTACTCTTGACGTTGTCGTCGAAGTCCGCGGACTGACACTTCTTCTTACTGCTGCTGACCTCTCCGGGCCGCTCCACGCTGGTCCAGTGGATGGGAACCTTACAGAAGAACAAGCCCAGGCCTTTGGGCCGAGCCTGCAACCGCCAGGACGTCAGGTGCAGGGGGACTGCCGAGGCCTGGCCAGGCAGGATGGGAGACAACACCACAGGCTCTGTCAACACAGGGACACAGCCGACGTCATTAACTTGACAAGAGATTTTTGAAAATGGATCCAATGAAAGGAAATGAAACCAAAATAAATTAAGGATAAAAATATAAATACTATAAAAATATGAAATAACGTAAGAGTTGGATTTAATATAACTATCATATAAATAAAATGTATATGATAAAGTATTATATAAACAATGAGATTTAATAGAAATGAGGCAGTAATTACATTTAAACACAATCAAATAATTAAAAAAAATCTAATTAAATGATTAAGATTTTATAAGGACAATAAAATAAATGACCAAATAACTTGAAATATTTAAAAATAATAAATAGATCCTAACTGAATTATGTTAATAAAATAAAATATATTACAAACAGTCGCTTCAATCTGCGTTGCACACATTATTTAACTGATTGATTCAGGTGTATCAGCCAGTCGAACAGAGCAGTGTCTTACTGTCAGGAGCCGACGGGCTGTCGAGTCTGACCTCCATAGGCACATCGAGCCGGTTCTTCACCATGAGCGCAGAGCGGACCGTGATGACCTTCCTGGCACTGCCCTCCATCGTGATGGCAAAGACCACTCGGACAAGAGGAAGGGCCGAGAACTGACAGGGATACAAGTGACAAATCAGTTTCGATTCATACTGAGCATTTGTGTTGTGTCACCTTATTGAAAGTTTTATTACCGTTAGACACAAGCCTTTATTTCCAATGTCCCATTTTCATCAGTACTTGCCATTGTGTGTTTTCAGATCTGTTCCTGTTTTAATTTTATGATAATCCAAATCCAAAGACTCCATGTTGACCTGCTGTCTGGGTACGTTCAGTGTATTTCCACAGCACTAACTTAGCAGTACACCAGAGTCACCTCAGAATCACCTCTCTGCTGCTCAGTCCTTTTGTAAATCCACTGATTAACCCCAGTCACGACTTAACTCAATTAACTGTAATGATTTTTGCCTTATTAGAGGCAAGGACATTAAAGTCATGTCTCCATTCTGTACTGCTGGTGTACAATAAGCATCAAGCTGCTACTGTGGCTACAGACTCCACACTGAAAGCTTACTTTCACTAACTGATCACTGCTGTAGAAACAAGACTTGTCCTGCTTACGTAAACATGTGGGTGGATGATGTTGGTCCTGCTGATAGGACTGCCAACCTGCGGAACAGTCAAGGAGAAAACAAATGTTCAGCACCAACCTCTAGGTCAGTTTATTAGAAACCTTTAACACGATCAACATGAATTTGAGTTTCTGACTCGTGCTCACAGTGTTGGAGGAGTTGTTTCTGTCTGGAGCAGCATAACGGAAGAAAACGCCCACTTTGTCCACAGACACTGGCTTGACCTGCTCCCAGCCGCACACCCGCACCAGCAGCTGGTGCAGCTTCAGCTCATGAGTGTGTCTGCAGGGGAGGAGGAGGAGGCAGCAAGGGATCAGGGACACGCAATCACAATCTAGTCTTCACTTCTACTAGACTGAGGTTTACAGTCGAGTCCCACAGACCAGCGCACCGCATCATCATGTGTACAGTATGTGCACATGTACAAACTCCAGCAAATACAGCACATACACTGTAAAGTCCTTAGTCTGTCTTGTGTTGATGTTGTGTCATCACTCTAACCGGGAACATGCACACATATACAGCACATTTACTGATACTTGCAGAGAAAAGTACCTTTATAGATATAGGTTCTACAACGTGAGATGGATTTTCACTGTGTTTTCCAAATGCAGAATTAGTTCTCTTATCATTGTCAGACCCCACCGACACTTTTAAGTTGACATGTAAAGTATTATCAAAACTAATAGGAATAATGGCACGTCTCCAAACCCCTGCAATCAAATCCCTAGGGTCAGGGTTAGGGCCTACTGGCTCAGGCAGTGACTGACAGCACCACCATCAGTAAGAAATTTCCCCATGGGGATTAATAAAGTATAATAAATTAATTAAATCAAGCTGATTTATCTGACTTCAAAGTAAAACAGAAATACAACACAGTGGAACCTTGTATCATCATATTACAGTGTGTAGATTCCTCAGCCAATCTAATTTCAGACAACCAGTCAAGACAGCAGGTAGTCACAGAGTTATTAAACCAGTTGCCAGTTTCATATCCACAGGTGCTGTGAACGTACCGGTGGCGCAGTTTCTCACGGGCTTCAAACTCGAAGGGGATCTCCTCCCCAGGCAGCACCTCTCTCCACTGGCTGACGTTGTGGGTGTCATCGGTTCCTGGGCCGTAGGCGTCTGAGTCTGCACTACTGCTGTGTGACAGCGCCACCCTGTGGGGAACGGAAACAGCTCTGTCTGCACAGGAGAATCCTTTAACTTGTCTAAAGTTGGACATGAATTCAACTTTTGTTACACTTTTTCACAGCAGGACAGTTAGTGCTTGTGAAAACAGCGTTCTTAGAGCTTTACCAGTAGAAAAACAGAGATGCAGCTATCAGAAAGGCCAGAAGATCATAACTGTCAACAGGAGCATGAAAAAGACCAATGAATCTTATGGTAACTTCAGGAGATCTGGTTCCATTTTAAGTCAATCTGGACAGTAGCTGTTGAGACATCCTGCTCTGGACAGAGAAATGCACTGAGCAACACTGCCATCCCTATGACCTGTCATCACATATCATAGCGACATGGCTGAGCTTAATGTCAGCAGCTAATGAGACATGCAAATCCATCAACAGATGGTAACATCACACCTTTTGCTTACAGCATCAGGATAAAATAGTTCAAATGTCACCAAATTTGGCATTGATATACAGCTTGTCCTACACTTTTTGTAAATGAGAGTAGATGCACATGACATACATTTACCAATAATTTCCATAAAAAGAATATTTCAGCTCCAAGTTGCCCCACACCACCAGATTAGCAAACGGTCAGACATACAGTAACAGGGCATTATGGCACAATTTTCCTGAGCACATGTAATACTGTACATCTCTTAGTAGTCTCATACTAAATCAGGAAACAGTTTGACATTTCTCAGATTTAATATTTTAATCTACAGTATAACATTACTTGACTCTCTGTGGTCTCATGGTGTCATCTAGAGTCCATCCTGGCCCAAGTCAGTGCACAGTCCTAGTCATCTGTTCAAACATGCCTTATCTCCAGTCTCACTTGTCCCTACCTTGTGGGGGTCGTAGTCAGAGTAGCAAACCACATGGTGCATCCTGTGTGGTTGCGCAGAGCATATGGCACGAACGGCTGCCTCCTCTTGGACAGTTTGACTTCTGCTGGAACCAGACATGAAAACCAAATCAGAGAGATGAGTATGCTTGGCCTTTCACATTGTACTAACTTCAATAGCGTATTCAGTTCAGTCAGTACAGTCATGAGCAGTGAAACCTAATCAGCAGCCAAGGCACAAGAGATGTGAATTGATTTTTTCTTTTAAAAGGGGCACTACACTGATTTTACTCAAACAGATCAACGTAGTAGTCGGGGGTGACTAGTCAGCCTCTGGGAAGTGAGGTGCATCAGAGGCTGTGAGACGATGACACACCGTGACGTCTACCCCAGTTCAGGCTGACAAACAGAAAGTCTACATCATGGACTCTGAGCGTGAAAAGCCATTTTCAGGTGCATCGGGAGCCTGAGCCTTACTACAGACTAAATGTCATGATGCTGCAGCCCCAGCTTTATAGAAATCACTGGAGTTCCCCTTTACAAAAGTAAATTCTTACTTTTAGTTTTCAACATACGGACGTGACTACAAACTACAAACAAACTTAAACGGCAACTTACAGATCAAAAATGAGGTCAGTGAAGCAAAGTGAACACAGTGTTGCCTTCTGCAGCGTTTTGCTCTATACTTACCATCACAGTCATTACTGTAACATTTTACAAAATGCCAGAAAACTATTTTAAAAATGCTCATGACAAAAATAAACAAATAAGGTACAACTTTGGGAAAATTAACATTTGGCAAACTTCTTATAGAGAAGAAAGACAGGGTGACCAGGGTGTTAGCAACCCTTTAGTTTATATTTAGCAGATGGCAAGACTTTGCTTAAATTCTTTAAGATTAAATAGTGTAAAAACTATAGACGATGATAAGTTTGACTGACGAGAATCAATGCAGTACAGACCACTACTACAGACGGTGACAAATGAAAGGAAAACCCTGAATAACTGAGTGGTCTCCTCCATGATGACAACGCCCTTGTCCTCAGGACACCAGGGGTCACTGACTGGTCTGATGAGGATGACCATGGTGTGAACCAGATGCTGTGGCCTTCCCAGTCACCAGGTCTCAGCCCAGTTGAACAGCTATGGGAGATGTTGGAGCGACGTGTTAGACAGCGTCTCCACCACCATCATTAAAACACCACATGAGGGAACATCTGTCAGAAGAGGAGTTTTCATCCCTCCAGGAGGGTTCAGGGACTTGGAGAGTCAAGGTAGAGCTGTTCTGGTGTCACGTGGTGGCCCAACACCTCACTGGGACTCTGTGTTGGGTCGTCCTTTCATCTGTCACCATCTGTACATGCTCCTCAACGGCAGCAGTCAACCAAGGATTCTGGCCATGCAGTGGAAAACGACGACAAACAAGTCATGCAGTTCAGGCAAAACACAAAGCATAAAGAAACAAGACGAGGAAGATGAGAGAGGGTACGGTTATAGTGAAATCTAATGAGTCTGATTTTAAATACCGTAGTCATCACTACATAAACCTGCAGCACCACTGAAGATATAGTCAGTCCTTATTCAGTTGTGCAGCAGATTTAACTTTCAACTGCAGACAGGGGCGTGCTGGCTGTGGGGGGCCCCAGGTGAGAGGGACGCCTGTAGCAGCTGGCTCTGACCTTTACACCTGCTGTGTTCACATAACCTAGAGCTAGTGCCGCACTATGGTGCAACGAAAGACCTCTGGTACTGTGTGGTGGTGAAGTGCCCAAAACCTTTGCACAGTACTGTATAAGGATAATTTATTTTAACAATATATTTGTTGAACAGTTTAAACCTTTAGATGACAGGAAATGAAGTGAGAGAACAAGCTACAAAGGTCGTGTTCCCAGGGACATCGTGGTTCACGGTCAGAGGCCACAGGGCTGCCCTGTATTATGGTATGAACACTGATATTAGTTGTATTTTATTACTGTGATTTGCTGGGTTGCAGGCTCTTCACTGACCTTACTGCAAATCTATATTTCCTCACAGCAGTGCTAGGTGCCTCTGCACCTGTGGGGAATGATGACTGAATGACACAGAGTGAACTGGTGAGGGAGACTGACTGGGTGACTAAACCCCGAACTGTACCTCTGGAGTGAATCTGCTGCTCGAGGCAGGTCAAGCTGGCTGTGCTCCTAGTTCTAAGGTGAGCAAGAGGCACACCTGACAGCAGAGAGAGACAGTTACTACACAAAGGAAACATGCAGAGGGAACACACAAGAGGGTTAGAGCTTCATCATCCTCATTCAGAGTCAGCACTTCTCTGCAGATCAATATTTTTATGAACAGTGCAGGTCATGCTTCACTTTGACTCACTGGTTTCCATGTGTTCAACATAGCGAAAAACACGTCCATTCATTTTCCATTCAGCTGAGGAACCAGAGCAACTTGGCTGATGAGTTTGACTGATGCTACTTATGTCACTGGCTCTTCTTGACAAACATTAAAATAAACTAACTATCGTGACGTCTGGAGCAAAGCAGCTCAGACCTCTTACATCTACAGTTCTTCAGAGCAGAGCAACCCATCAGCCAAGCTGCTCACAGGATGGACACCTACACCCAAAGCCCTACCAAACCGACCACCAAAACTGGTGTGTAACTGGTGTTGTATGGTTTTCTTATTATCAGCCAATCCCATGAAAATGTCAAGAAAAATATGAACTAATTATCTACAGTGGCACCAGTGCCCTTCAGTGTCTGTTAAGTTGGTAGATACACAAATGACAGGACAAAGATCACATCATACAATCTTCAGTGTAAAGACTGGAAATGTCACGCAGATTGTTTCCATGTTCGTTCAGACAGCGATTGTACAGTTTTCAACTGTAAAGACAAAAGGGAATAAATACAACCGGCCCCAGTGGAAAGATAAAGCAGAAGAGAACAGTCACCTGTTGAATTTTTTTAAATAAACTTAGTTGTTTATGACCCCAGCGCTGGCCATCCATTGTATTGAATTATTAAATTCTTCACTACCCAGTGTTTGTGGTACTGAGTGTAGCTGACACTCACTCTGTCCGACGCTGGGCGGGTCGACTGAAGAGCCCACCCAGGGGAGGGGGGGTGCCGGCTGGTGGGTCTGCTCCTCCTCGTTACAGTAGTCTGCTAACCAGGAGCTCTTGGTGGAGGTGTATTGCTCTGGGAGGGTCACATAAGGACATGTTCAACATTTCTGGCTTGTTTTTTCACAGGTTTACAATGTAACTGGAAACCAGCACTGAGTGCGGCTGAGGGATCTGACCTGTCAACCTCAAAACACTGTGCATCCAGTGCACATGTACATGCAGAGAAGCCTGTTTCAGGCTCCACTCACCCAGCAGGACAGAGGTGATGTTGACGTCAAGTCTCTGCTTGGCTCGAATCCCCATCTTGAGGCGCGGAGGGTGGAGGCGGCCGGCGGCCTGCTGCTGCCAGGACAGGGAGCAGGGCCAGGGCTCGATGAAGGGCTCCCAGCCTGGTGCAGGCAGACAGACACACACACACAGGAGTGATAATAACCCTGCAGAGTTACACTGACGTCTGGCAGACTATCCCAATGTAATCCATGTTGGTGAATTCCCCAAGAGGTCAGTATCGCTGTTCCTAATGATTACTACCCTGCAGCTTTACACTGACATACATGTTGTCGTTCATAAAATGCAACATTTCTGTCTTTATTGATCCACTGCAGTTTGCCTATATGTCGGTCAATCAATCAATCTGTAGATAATAATCATCTGATTTGCAGTAGAACAACCTGATCAATGTCATAATACTGTTGATTGGTTTTAACACAGTGCCATTTAAATGACTGTCAAACCTCTGTGTGAGACACACTCCCCATTCACATAATGTTTAGGTTTGCTAAGTCTGAATCACGGTGCTGAATTCCCTTCATGATCAGAAAAACACTGACTGAAAAGTTCAGCATATATCATATAAGCAGTTCGATTGTGTCACCTGACAACTCCCTGTTGTAGTAGTCTCCAGACAGAGTGAAGCTGGCGTTGCCTTCCTGGATGGATCCAATGCGCTGCAGTGCACAAAGCCCTGCAATCAGAAACAGTCTGCAGATCACAATCAGGCTGAAGGACACGATGGACATCTTTGACTTCCTGGATGTGCAGTTATTTATTTTTCTGCAAAGCACTGTTTGGTGTGTTTGCACTGTGGTGACTGACTCTTACTTAGTTCTTGAAAATATATATTTACAGTTTGAATGTCTGACACCAGAGTTTTATTCCAGTGACAAACAGGAAGGGGTTTCAGTTTTTTGGTGCAGAATGCCTTTATTACTGCCCCAGGTGTAAATAAACAGGGCAGCCAACAGTAACCACACAAGAACAGAACTTGTGTTTGCAGGACAAAATGTGGCACATGAGCTGCTCAGTCTTCTATCACACTTGTTCGATATTGCAGTAGTATCTTAAGTAAGAGACACCTACTGGAGAAGGTGAACTCAGCCAGTGGTATGTCACAGTCCAGGCAGTCATCAATGAAACAGATGCAGACGCTCTCAGCCTTCACCTCCACCCCAGACAGAGGAGCTGAGTGGCTGTGGGAGCCGGAGTCAGCCCTGGCTCTGGGATGGCCCGCCATGTTCTCAGCATTCTCCAGTAGCCACGTGGCTGCCTGGTCCAGCTGGCCTGAGGGACACATTGCTCTTGCTTTATACAGGTTTTCATAAATTAATAGTTATGACCTTTGTTCTACTGCCAGGTCACCAGGCAGAGAGAACAGTGTTAAAGGTCTCGCTCACCTTTACAGTGAATCAGGGCTCTTTTGCAGTCCTCTTTCCTGAAGCCAAGGTCTTGTAAGTGGGTCAGCTGACCATCTATGGAGAGGAACAGCTGTAACCAAAGCTTTAACCAAAACCTGCATGACTACAAGAATTTCCTGATGTAACACAACAACGTGGTTGTCTTTTGATACTAGTTTCTGACTTTCCTTCTCTGTCTCCATCGGTTCTACTGATTATATAAATCAATGCTCTTGGATACCCAGTTATTTCTTTATTTATTTTACCTTTATTTTACCAGGAAGTCCCACTGAGATCAAGACTTCTTTTTCAGAGAAGATCACAAAGACCAGATGTATGCAAAAGACTGGGAACATCTGGGCAAAATAACTGAGGTACAAATATGTAAACGCAGCCCTGGCAGCAAGCAGACAGTAAATATGAGCCTCTCTTCAAATGATAAAGGATAATGTCGGTCATTTTCTACATTAATAGTATTTTCAACAACATCTGAAGCAGCAAGACTCAACTGCACATGCACAAGATCTCAAACACTAAAAAGTAATGGTCGTTTGGAGCTTTTGAGGAAACATATTTTTAATATGTGGGTCTTGTGTTTTGTAATGAAGAGACTTGTCACCCAGTGCAGCAGTGTGTTTCACTGAGGTGTGTTATAGTTTTTTTAAACAACGGGGGCCTATGGCACAGATGAATAAGCTGATCCAGGTTGGAGACTGACGAACATTAACTGTGAGTAGAGGCCGCTCACCGTTGGTTTTAGTCTCTGTATGGGGACTGCTGAAAATAAGAGGCCTTATCTTTTCACGTACAGTTACTTCTATTTCATGAAATCAGCAGTGAAGTCCACAATGAAGACTGCTCTCCATACCTATGAGGGCCTCAGTCTTTTGCCTAAAGCGGTCTTTGGGTGTGGCAGCGGGCTCAGTGCTGGTGTCAGAGTCAGATGACACTGCAGTGCCAGTAGTAGGGATGGACCTGGCGATGGCCAAGAAGAGCTGAATGTCGTTGTAGGACAGACGGATGTCCAGAGTAGGAAACTGAATCTGCCACACAAACACATGCACAAATAAGATTTTTATGTCAAAGTCATGTTAGTAGTAGTCTCAGCTTGTTCCTCAAGACCACGACAGAGGATGTCTGTGTCACAAATTGGCTGTGGAGTTTGAAAGGGGGGTGGAATTTACCAGGTCGAGTCTAATGCCAGGCACTACTGAGCTGGATTATAGAAGATGTAGGATCTGTTGTTTATCGAGTCGAGCCAACACTAGAGCCAATGTGTCCACACAAAGTGTTTCAGCTGCGTTTTCTCTTATGTCTGACAGAACAGGTGTACAGACCACGTTGACAGCTCACTCTTTAAACCCCGAGCCTGACCCAAGGTGTATTTTTACCATTTCAAGTCTTTTTACATGCATTTTACACATGCTACTTCAGCGACTGTGCACTGGGCTCTGACCTACAGACACAGGTGGAGCACTGCAGCTGCCAACATGCTGCTCACACTACACCTTCAGTGTCAGGATAGCTGTTGCAAGACTGACTTTTTTTGATAAAATGTATGTTTACAACACATTAGAACGTACTCATGAAACAATGGATTTAATAAATGAAGCTGGTAAACGATAACACTAAGTAAGAAGGAAAACTACCGGCTGAACCACCTGGATGTGAGGAACAGTCTTCTCCACACAGGCAGAATGGTGGGCTCACTACCAGAAGGAACATGTTGTCCATTTAGAAAACCAAACAACCAGCTGAGTGTCCAAAATGCTGGATGTGTCATAGGGAGAGTAGGCTCATTAAACATTGTTGTTGTTTCTGCAATGACCCCACTTCCCCTCAGTGACAGTTACACTTTCCATCCATTAACTATAAAGTTTTATCCTTGGAAGGGTTGGGGAGCTGGAGTCTGTCCCACCTGGCATGAGAGGCAACAATGCAAACCACTGCACCACTGTGCCACCCAAGTTACATGCTGAATATTTAATTATGCTTGAGTCCTAACCTCCAGCAGAGGCGGGATGTCCTCCACATTGAAGGCGTCCAGGAGACCTGAGCTACTTGGGTACGTGGGGCTCCCACACAGCTCCACCTGGACATTGACGGGGTCGATGATGGACAGCGCTGTCTCCTGCTCACTGCCCAGCCGACATGAGAACACCTGCAGGTCACGTGATGTGTTTGAATCAGAGCTAATACAATTATGATCTAGATACTGGGTTAGTAGTTAGCAGCACCCCTGCACCGATGCAGTCTGTATCGATCCCATATTACATACTATAACTAGAAGTATCACTATGTAATGACCTTCACTGTACAGTGGCTTGACCAGGGTAGCGAGTAGAGGGGGTGGAGGTCATGGAGGTGGAGGAGTTGTACAACAGCACTGTTAGCAGTAGTATTTGGAGTAGCAGCAGTAACACAATTAGTACTTAATGCAGTCGGGCAGTAATAATAGTATTAGCAATGGTAGCAGTACTAGAGTACTGGAGCATTTCAGGCCAATCATCTGTTTAATAAAGTTGTCTCTTTCAGAATGGGATTCTTTGATTAAATGAAGCAGCAGTGGTAGAACCCACAGTTCCAGGAATTCATGCAGTGACAGTGAGGAGTCACCTCTATTCCTGCGAGGCTGCCAGAGAACGGTCTGTCCAGCAGGCGGGGTTTATAGGTGAGGACTGTGGTGCCTTTTAGAATGATGGCGTTGGTGTCCAGACAGGATGAGTCCTCCACAACCACAAACTCTGTGCCTGAAGACCAAACAACAGGGTGACATTTTAAAATTCAGCTAAATTATATTCATCAAGATCTTTTCCTTTAACTTAATAACTTACACGGGGCAGGCCCCAGTAAAAGTCAAAAATCCTGGAGATGAACATTTAATTTCGTCGAGATACAACTCAATGACATTTTCATGGTTAATAAAACACTCGTGGCAGTAGCCGTGTTGGAGATTCTCACAACAAGCACACTTTAACTAGAGCTCAGTATAGACACACAGACAGTTCCCTTTTTATTTAAAGCATTTAAAACCAGTCAGGGCCTACCGTTACCGATCATCTGTCTCTGACCTGTGACGTTGATCTTGACCTCCAGACAGCGGTCCTCGGTGACCGGCACCGTGGACCTCTTGGTGACCACGCCACTCTTGACCGTCTTTGGCATGACAGCTCCAGCGGTGCCGGTGCCCGAGTCAGTGCTGGTGTTACTGGGCCAGCGCTGACGAGTCACGATGCCTCCTGACACGTTCTCTGCAGGCACCTGCAGGAAGTCTCGCATCAGCTGGAGCCAGTCGAAGATGACCAAGACCCTCAGGTTGTTGAGCACGACCGTGAAGCAGGAGGAGTCACGTGTGGATCTGTGAGAAAGTGGATCACAACTGATCAAGTCTTCACAATCTAACACTACCTCAAATCTCTGCTTCTATATACTATGTGTCTGGAAATGTTCCATGAGCTTAAAAGCCTCCTGTCACACCTGTAATGCAGTTCCAGCTGCAGCGATGCCCGGTTGGTGCCTGCTTTGGAGGGCTGGAGGATGCAGTCAAAGACATTGTGTTTTGCCCCGTCAGCTCCACCAGTGCTTTTACTGGGCCCAGTGTACCGTGTGTCATATGCCAGCAGGGAGTGAGATACCAGGTTGACAGACTTGCATCCATTGGAGAAATTTTCAAACAGCAGCTTGGATTTCATGAAGTCAAACCTTTGCAACAGAAATACAGACTTCACTGTAGACAAATGTCTATTTTACAACTCTGAGCTATGACCTGACAAAGTAACTCAATCAGCAGTGAGTCCATGAACAGTTTTAGGTCCTGTAAACCAGGAGAGATCCTAATCTGCCCAGTGTTAGCTTCTCTCTTACACTGTAACTTTAAAAAACCCTTTTGACCACATTATTGTCAAAATGGTGTTGATCAGTTGCAATGTTTTAGGTGTTTTTTTTACAATGGGAGCGAGTGAAAATTACAAAAGTAGTTTCGAATGATTCATTAAAAATCTAGTTAACCCTCCTGTTATGTTGTGTCAAACTGACCCATTGTAAAGATGTGAAATGGTTCATTTCACATATTTGCAACCCCCCCCCTCTGTTCGATACTGAACAGAAGAGGTGTCTCATGTTAATTTTCATTCAACTGCTTAGCGCTGTCACCTCACAGTGATGACCTGGACTGGCGACCTGTCCAGGGTGGATTCTGCTTCTCATCCAGTGTCAGCTGGGATTGGCTCCAGCCCTTTAAAACTTGCTGAACTTGCTTAACTTACCCTGTGTGTCATGGTACTGACACTGTTGCCTCATGAACAGTTTGTTGTGTGGGGCTTCGAGGTCATCAATACTTCTTGATACAGGGTGGGCCACGAAAAGTAGCCCTATCTGCCCTATATACCCACTATCAGAAAGTATTGGAGGCGAGCTACTTTTCTGTGGCCCAGGTGGTATTATTAGCATCTAAGAGAAATGTCCACGCTATGCTGGCATCTGGATGTCCATGAGAAAGGCCAATTCATGAGTCGTAACAAATTGTGTGCATGACCTAAGGTGCTTTCAGTTATAGATTTATGATAAAAACAATGCAAATCTAATAGTTTGTATAGGGATGTAAGGAGATAGAGAAGTCACCTTGCTAATGAGCATTTGTGTTCAGTGGGTTTGGGGCTGTCCAAGAGCTCCAGACTGACATCCATCATGTCCACCAGGAAGGACAAGTTGGTGTAAACATCTCCACTCAGCACCGTCTGAAGAGAGACACACCATCAGTCTATAAACTAGAACATATGGGAACTATGTGGAAAAGAGAAACACCGACAGTTACACACATTCATTAAGAAACAGACGAGGATAAACTACTGCACAAATGTGTTCAACATACTGTTAATGATACTTTAAAGTCTAAGCTCTCTGTGGGCCCCAGTTTGATTTTAACAAATGAACTGATGCTGTAAAATATCACAGTATTGACAGTTGAAAACAAAAACTGTTGCAAATAACTCTCAAATCAAAATCTGACAGACAATGAAGTGTTCTGTAAATGGTTTTAAGCCATTTACATCATAATCAAGCCTAACCCATATTTATATGATGTCACATTTCCACAACTGGCCCTTGTGGGCAAGTCAAGTGGATTTCATGATAGGCGTAGCATCTGCTACAAATGCCAACACTGTATGTTGCACAGACTCAGGTGTGAGTGTATGTGTGGTTGTCTGCTTTCTAACATAGGTGCTGGGGTCCTGCAGGTTATAGGGCCTCAGGAACTCATCAACAGACTCTCCCAGGTTGTTGTCCAGCAGTCCTCGGATCAACCGGTAGTGCTCCAGGTCCAGGGAGCAGTGCACTGAGGACAGGCTGCCGTGGATGGACATGTCAGGTACTCCATGGCTCAGCTCCCTGACAACATCAGTGAAGGGAAGCATGAGATTAGACACTGGGTACATTCAGACCTACAGCTTTCTCCTAAAAAAACCCACTATGGCTAAAAACAAACCTGCTGCTCTCGGCCCAGAGAGAACCCACGCAAGCACGGGGAGAACATGCAAACTCCACACAGAAAGGTCCCGGGTGGGGCCCGAACCCAGAACCTTGGCCTTCCCCGTTATTCATGCAAAAGAACTAGCATAACGCTAATAAGGCTAACGTACTAAAGCTCTGTGTCATGTAGTGGAACTAGTAGCAAGCCAAAGGCAGCACTGCTGGTGGAGCACAGCAGACGACTCCGGCTTAGTCCTCAACACGAGTTCACTGTAAAACAATCATAATGTTTGCCACAAACAATGAGAAGCAGGACGTACTTGTCCAGGTTGCGTTCCACTTTCAGCTTGAGGCGGCAGCAGTCTTTCAGCAGGTTGCCTCCAATGCGACGGATCGAGTATGAAGGAAAGATGAGGTCTGAGGTTTCCGGGGGTTTACCACCACTGTCCCAGGTCTGACAGGGCAGACGCTCGGCAGCAAAGATATCCATCTCCTGCAGGTCCAGTGCAATGCAGTCCAACAGGCACACATGGTCTTCTACTGGGGACAAACACACCAGAGTGAGTCTTTCCAGATGGCTCAGCACTAAAAAATGACCACCACTACCTGAAACATAGTGAGTGCAAAATAAAATTCAAAGCCTCATTTCATTTCTGAGGGCCACATGTTAAGGTGTCCAAGCTACACCTCCTACATGCAGTACTTGGATGTGCAGTGTTTTGAGATTTGCAGCAACACTAACCTGAGCTGTGGGAACCGTCCTCCTCTGGGGTCCTGCCTGCATCTGGGGCCTGTGACCTGCTGAGGGTGAAGCCTGTGGAGGAGGAGCAGCTGGTGGGGGAGGCTCTAGGCTTCAGCTGCTCACTGTTACTCCCTGCTGCACTCTGGACACGCTCCTTTGTCAAGAGAAGAGAAACAGAAGAGACATGTCGTTGGACATCAAGTCCATTTAACAATATGATCAGTACATATGCACAAAAGCTGATGAGGCCAAGCACAACAAACACAACATAAATTACCAAGGGGTCGGGTTACAGGATTTATTTTACTACTGGACACACATTACCAGTCCCTCTTTACTTAAAAGCATTTTCAATTTCAGAGTCAGAATCGGTTTTATTAGACTTTAGTGGAGAGGAATTTGACTCTGGTACAGTGGCTCTCAGTTGTTATGTACAGTGTTCTTCTGTAAAGCAACAAGTCTGAGACTGGAGACTGAGAACAAAAAAAGGAAAAAGAATGTGCATTAGGAAAATAAAAATAAATACTTATAAATATAGAACTTCTTGCTGAACTTCAGTAATGAATGAGAGGGCTGGGGGGCATGTGGTCTGATAAAGGTGGCAGCCCACTGAAGTCCCCTCTATTAACAACTCAGTGGCGCTGTGCCATTATCTCTAAAGCAGGAAAAACTATTCAACACAGCAGGGAGTTCATCTTTTCCACTGCTGTAACTTTAGTCCACCTTTTCAGAAAGACATTTTTTGGACATTCTGATCCAATGCGTGACACAGAGACAGAAATTCAAACAGCATCATTTCAAGCTCAAACTGTGTCAAAACAATACACCAACCTTTGCCAGTAAGTTCTCTGATCAGTGTAAAGAGTACATGACTCAAGGCAGGGAAACGCACTGCAATAGTGGAGCCATGACTGGTTTGGCAAAGATTTCTTTTGATGCAGTCACTGGGGTCATTCTCATTGAGATCATTTTAAACGTGACTGACTTTAAAACTGCAAATATATATATATATATATACTATTTAAAAAAATCAATCAAACAAAACAAAACAAAAACCCTGTAAACAGGACTGGCATCGTGCAGCAGAAGCAGTCCTACTGTAAGTGTTTGATAGAGTGGAGGCACCTGTATCATCTGTGTGTTTCTAACCTAATACCCATTAACTATACCAGCATTTCTCATCATCTTCAACTTTTAGAGTAGTTAGGATCAAATCAAATCAAAATGTAGTCATATGACACTTTCAAAGCAATGACTTGTGGATGAAGTGGGATTGGAATTTTAATCACAAATATATTTAGAGACTTTTCTAAAATGTGTTTTTTTCTTAAAACGTACTGGCCTCCAAAGCATCAAATGTACTGGTGCACAGAAGGAAACTGTTCAGGTCGTACAACACAAACACGATCAAGGTGCTTGAAAAGTTGGTGTATTCCTCTGAATAATACATGCAACACGTGTTTCAGCAGACATCTCAATCCAACTGCAAACAAAGGAACCACAGACCAGGGTTGCACAACATTACAACTGAAGCAACAGCAAATCATTTAAAGATGCATCATCAGAGGCTCTGACACACAGGAGCGCTATTAATGTAAAACCCAAACCAAATGTTCTGACAAAGTTTAAAAGTGCTTTCAAGTGAACAGTGAAACATGTCACCGTACTGTCCTTCGTCTATGGTGTGTCACCGGGACAGTGTTCGTTTCTATGAGACTATGTGTGGGGTGAAAAGGTCAGACTGTGATAATGTGACAACCCTCGTCCACATCAAACCAAAAGCCACTGTACCTTGTAATGAGACGGGTCCTTGTATGAATTTGCATGCAGAATAAAATTCTTCACAAAAAAAAACAACAAAACACAAGATGAATGTGAAAGACCAATTAAATGTTTCTATTCTTCAGTCCCTCCAGGGTTTCATAGCCTTTTTTGCCTGATTTTGTCGGTTGCTCTTCTATAAACAACTGCAATGTTTTTAGGTGTTTTTTACAATGAAATTGTGGGAGCAAATGAAAATGACAAAAGTAGTTTTTAATAATTCATTAAAAATCTAGTTAAGGAAATCTCACTGTTCCGAGAGTTCCAGGTTTATTTTCATTCAACTGGTTAGCTCTGTCACCTCACAGCAAGAAGGTTCCAGGTCCGACCCCCGGCCGACCCGGGGCCTTTCTGTGTGGAGTCTGCATGTTCTCCCTGCGTGGGTTCTCTCCGGGTGCTCCAGCTTCCTCCCACAGTCCAAAGACATGCAGCTTAAGTTTACTGGAAACTAAATTGCCCGTAGGAGTGAGTGTGAGTGGTCTACATGTCAGCCCTGTGATAGGCTGGCAACCTGTCCAGGGTGGACCCTGCCTCTTGCCCAGTGTGAGCTGAGATTGGCTCCACTGGTTGAATTTGTGGAGTTCTGGAGGGACTGATTGTTCTCCTTCCTAAATACACTAACCTCCAAAACAAATGACAGCATGAACAGGTCCCTGCTCTCCGCTCGTGACAGTTAGACTGACTTGACTGTTGATGATTAGACACAAACCTGGGCTTTGTTCAAAGCTGGCTTAAAATCTGAAAATGTCTCACCTTGCTAGGAAATCTAACTAACAAGCTTAATGCTCAGCATGTTGGACTGTTTCTTTAAAAAGATTACATTAAAACAATCAAGTGCCGACAAAGACAAAAAGAGATGTTGACCAAGTTTAGTTGTGAAATCATAATTTGAAATCTTTAGTAAATTATCAGGCAATGTTGTATTCATTCAGCATTTTAGACCAGATTCAGAGACTTTACTAATTGATCAGCGCAGGGTTTCCATTTCTTTCTCAGTGAATCTGGCTGACAAATCAAAACCCAAGTGGTCTGAGCTACTCCTGAGTTTTTACAACTTGGGGAATACTTTTAAATACATAAATGAATACAGTGTAATTAGTCAAAAGAAGAGGATGAGAAAGGGCGGTCAGGATGATGCATGGGTGGATGAACAGGCAGCATGACTCACCAGAGAAGGGAAAAAGGCATGTACCATGGTGAGTTTCTCTACCTTGTCTCGGAGGGAAAAGGTCCCGTGAGCCCCAGCTGGCAGGAAGCAGTTCTGCACCCTCAGCTGGCCGAGGTTGGCCACAATGACCCTTGGTGACCGTGAACTCTCTGGAATGACAATAACCGGGGCGCCAGCGTCAATATCCAGCAGAATCCTGGATGCCCGCTGAGGATGGTCCCGCACCTGCAAAAGGGGGAAAGGAGACAGAAAGGAGGAGGGGACAGGATTTGGATGAAGGGAGCGAGGGGGGGAGAAAAGGATAGAAAAAGAGGGTGACACAAACAGAGTAGATAAAGAGAATATGACAAAATCTAATGTACAGTAGAAAATAAAGTGAGCAGGAGGCAGCTGAGAAATATTATTTTGCCATCAGAAATATTACTGTATGTACGTATGTTATTTGAATCAAGCACTGTCATGCTGCCACCTTTAGAAATGATCATGTGGCAACTGAACTTAAGTTATCATGGTAAGGCAGGGCATCCAGGTGGTACTCACAGCCTGTCCCTCCACGGCAGCCCTCTGCCTGCCAAGGACATCCTGCAGCTGGGTGAAGTGCTGGATGAAAGCCACCACCTCGGCTTGGAAGCGCTGGGTATGGACGTACTGCACTGAAGCCATCTGCACAGACACCTTGATGTCGTAGTCCCGCTCCAGGTCAGGATCAGGCTGGTCGTACCTGAGTGGACCAGCATACAAACATGACTTAAAAACAAAACTATTCTTCCCTTTTCTTCAGTATCATGCAGAGCATCTGCCTGTTGAAACATCTGTGGTTTGTACTTATGGATGTTGAAAATAAGAGCCTCCCCTCCTCGTGTGGTGAAGCGTTCTCGGTAGAGATCGCCATGTGGGGTCAGGTCACTCAGGGACAAACTTCCCAAACTGCCTTGTAATGCCAGGTCACCATCTGAAATGTGTGACAGTGCGAACATCAAATTACTGTCTTGAGTCAACTAGTTACATAAAAGCAAACTCTGTAGTGTGCAGGTGTTCGCATGGAGTATTTCATACACACCCAACATTTCCAGATGAGCTGATAATTTGGACACACTCGCTCTGGCAAGTTCGTTGAGCTTCTTGTTCAGTACAAGAGACAGAGAATGAACCTAAAAATGAAAACGTGGGCAGCGTTAGTCATGAAGGGTTCCCACAATCATATTTTGACACGCAGCTAACAACAACTTTTATTTTTTAATTCATCTGTCAGTCTGGATGAAATCTCGGGTCACCAGGGGTGGCTGTAGCTCACGAGGTAGGGCAGTCGTCTCCTGACCAGCAAGTTGGTGGTTTGACTCCCGGTCTCCCCGCATGCCTAAGTGTCCCCGAGCAAGACACTGAATCCCGTTGTGTGGCAGCCTGTCGTCATCGGTGTGTGAATGTTGTGTGTGAATGGGTGAATGGTGTATTAAGCCCTGTAAAGTGCTTTGGCCAGTGCAACACACTGTGGAAAAATGCGCTATATAAATACAGTCCATTTACCTTGAATATCTGTTCTATAGTTCACAAAACTATGTGAAGGTTTTAAGTAATTTCACTTAAAAACAAGCTGTCAACCTGCTGTTAGAGGACTGTCAGAGGAAAAGTCAGAGCATCGCCAACATCAACAGCATTCATCCTCTGTGGACCACTAATTCAGAAATTTCCTCACTGTGGGATCAATAAAGTACCTACTCTACTCTCAAGTACCTACTCTAATGTCTTTGCCAACTTTAGTGAGGATCCATCCAATATATACAACGTTTTTGTAGATGGACAGATGGACCAACAGACTGACACTGCCATCGTCAGAGCCACAAAGCTAATGTGGCTAATAAACAGGAATAATATTCTTCTCTAACAGTACAACAACATGGCTCATGATCCAGTGACCTACCTTTAGGTCCACTTTGGTGTTGATGGCATCTGCTGTCTCCTCCTCACTGATGTCTGGCTCATACAGAGGGTGTCCTGGCACAGGCTGAAGTGACATGGGGGGGACCCTTACTGCATGATTATTGGCTGTGGAGCCAATACCAAAGAAGTCCAGAATAACCACCCAGGTCTGCAACGTGATCAGAACATCCAGGCAGTTAAAGTCAACATCCACACTCCGCCCCACGCTGCCATAGCGCGTTTTGAACTCTGGGTGGTTCTGGTCCACCAGCAGTATGTTGATATGAACTAATGTGTCATCAAAGTTTGGGGGTGGCTGAGGAGAGGGCCCATGTCGGGAAGGAGAGGGAGGTGGAGTGCTGGGACAGTCCGGACCCCTCTTGGATTTGCAACTGCTGGCTGAAGGGGCGTTGGGATGCCTCTGGTAGAGCTGGAAGACGTTCTGGGCCTCCTCCATGTGGGCAGGCAGTGAGCGAGGCATGTCTGGGTACAGGGCATTGGATGAAGATGGACAGCTTTGGGAGAGGTACTCCTTTGGATTGAAGGTGGAGGGCTTGGGAGCTCCTCGAGACACCATTAAATGTTTGTACTTGGACTCAGGGTTCTGCTCCAGGAGGTCCTCCATTAGAAGCGAGCGCAGAGCCAACTGGACTGCCAGCGAGTGAGGGTGGTCTTTAGTAAAGTCTCCCTCCAGATCTTGGAAGCGTAGACTGACTAAGCCCTGGGAGCCCTGGGTGAGATCAGTACTGAGCTGGACCTGCAGTTCTGCCACGTGTAAAGTGACTCTTAGCTGAGTGAACGAGGGCGAGTGAAGAGCAGGTTTGTGTGACTGTAGAGGCAAAGGAGAAGAAAGTGACATGTGGGAGAAGCTCATATGGGGAGGGTCCCTTGCAAAGAGCCCTCCCTGGGGGTCAGGAAAGCGGTGAGGTCTGGTGGAGGAAGGAGTTGGTGGCGGGGGTGTGGGCGGCCGGCTGGGTGTGACACGTTGCTCCTCCTTTAGGGACAAATTGTCGAGCGTCTGGAGGACCTGTTCATACACAGACTTGCACAGGAACACCTGTCACCAGAGCGTCACATATGGACACAATTAATGAACCAACAGTAAACTCAGTAACGGAAACAATGACAACATAAGAGGTTGGAATTAACGAGTAAATGAGGACAGTATGTTTGTTAAAAAAAAAGTGGTGAGTACCACATGACTCTGCTGTGAACTCTGTATCTACAAGGCCTACTGGGGACTGTTTGGCTTTTTTCCAGCTGTGCATGACATAAATACTGCTGGTATTTGAGATGTGGCCATTATTTAGATGAGGATTTGCTGTATTGATAAAGTGTATACCTGAACAGGGTTGACAAATTTGCCCTCAACTCTCAGCAGCCCTGTGCTCTTGCAGGACTGCTCCTCTGCGGTGAGGAGGGTAAACTGAGCATCATCATCAACAGGAACTTTCTCCAGGGTGAACTGAATAGTGGTGTCTTTCAATATATGGAAGGCTGATAGAGGAAAATAAGTGTGAACTTGTGTCACAAGCTGCACATAAAAAATATACGCTTTCATTACCATGTCCATAAGATATACCATATTTATAATATTCTTACCTTCTCCACGGTCGAGGGATTCAAAGAAGTCATGGCGGGTGAACTGTGGCTCATCCTGACTGATGCTCCCACTGCCAGATGGTGACATGCTGCCAGCGGTATCCCCTCTGGGTGGCCTCTTCAAAACCAAATGACTCATGTTGAGTGAATACAGCCGGATATCTCTGACCAGCACCTGCAACCTCTCTTCTTCAGAGTCTTGCCCAGTGACAAAGTTCTGGATTTTTATGCTTCCCAGATGACCGACCAAAAGCTCAGGGTGTCCGTGTTTACGGGGAATAAACACAACAGGTGATTCGATGCTGATATCCAGGGTCAGCTTCACTAGGAATGTGTCTAAGGAGGACTTGGGTTCCTCCATGGAAACATCGTTCTCATCTTCAAATGAAAAAGCCCAGCTCTGACTCTGAGTTCGAGTTCTCCGTGAGGGAGTCTCAAAGAGAGAAACCATACCACTGTACTCTGCCGTTTTAGTGGCTAGAACTGTTGACACTTTGGTGGCAGCACTTTTCAACATAGAGCGGAAATTGTCTTCAACTTCGTTGGCAGACAGACTCAGCTCCTTCAGGAACTTGGCTGAGTGGTTATAGTGCAGGGATGCCATGTGAAGTTCCAAGGAACACTCCCCTTGGGTTTTCTCCATGAGGTGAAAATTTAGAGCTTCTGAGGGAGAATCTCCTTTATCTGTGAGGAACGTTAATCTGCCAAGATATGAGGAGGCATCCTCAACATTGCCAATGCTGACCACAAACTGGCTTCGGCCTCCCTCCGGGGTCAAGTCCACTAACTGCATAGACCCAAGTGAACCGTTGATGTCCAGCCGGCTGCCCATGGACACATTAACCTTGGTGCCACTGATGCTGGCAGTGGCAATCTTCAACCCTTTCTTCTCAGAAGCCAGGACAGTGCCGGTGGACACAGTCCGAAGGAGAAGCAGGTTAAGGCGGTGGATCTCCACAGTCAGCTCTTTGTTCTGGTCATAGATGGCCTGATACGTCCCCTCTTCAGGCTGCATTGTAGGTTGTTGTGCTGATGACATCCAGGTGCTTTCTTCTTTGGGGAAAGACTTCTGGAGGAACTTGAGTAGCTCCACCATGGTCTCAGGGTTAAGAATAATATCCAGGTTATTGACCTGCATGCTTGTCACCTGGAGGGAGCTGTCTAGGTTCATGGAGGGGCAGTCTGAGCTTACAAACTGGTACTCAAGCTTAATTAAGGCCTCCTGGTCATTGAGAAAGGAACTGGGGGAGATTCTCTCCATGGGCACACCAGAGGGTGACTCAGTATAATGGCCCTGATGTTCCGGAGACCTGCCATCAGGGGACGATACAGGGGACGAAGGCTGGCTCTCTCGGATGCTGCCCGTGGGTATGTCAAAACTCAGATGCTTATGAGAGGCCACAAGGAGGTCGAAGTCTGAGCCATAGGTCTGTAAGGTGTCCACCAGCAGAAGACCATGGACAGTCAGAGAGACTTCAGCATCATAAGGCCGCTTAACAAAATGAGCATTGATGCCAAATACCTTGAGAACAGATATGTAGCGGCCATCACTCTCTACGCCAAGCTGCATGTAGTTAATGTTGAATTCAGCTAACAGTAGCCGGGATTCCACCAAGACTTCTCGTGTGTGCTGCTCTAAGGTCATGACGCTCTGGGTGAGGTTCCTGGCAGAGTCTTGTAGCTTCCAGGAGCTGTCCTCCCTCTTAAAGATCTTGTCATGGCGGAGGGTAAGAGGGTCAGGAGACCTTATATCAAGACCTCTGTCTTTGCTTTTGTCCCCTTCAGTGACAGTTGGACTGCTTAACCTAGCCAGACAACTTCTAAGAGCGGTCATCTTCTCGAGGTTGATGTGGAGCTTGAGGTCTGGAAGTGTCCCTGACAGCACGGCCCCGGGGAGCTGGGGGTCTGATGTGTAGCGCAGTCTCTGCTCCAGCTGCAGCAACACATTAAACTTCTCCACCACATGAGTGGGGCCTACCTCACTCTCCTGAAGATGTTTCCAGTTGTCCTTATAGCGGCCCACCATTATCTGCAGGTCCTTAAATGACAAGCAGTATTTTTCATACAGTATCCTGCTATATGCCTGCGTATTTTCAGGGGATCTGAGGCTGAACGGCTCGAGGCCTTTGACCTCTGCTTTCAGAGGCATGTCTAGTTCAGGTGGTGGAGACTCGGGTGGGGTGGCAAGAGGTGTCTGGTACTCATCATCACTCATCTCTTCATTTTCAGGCTGCGGAGCTTTTGAGCCGGCCTTAGTGTCATCTGCAAAAAATAAATAAATAAAAAATTTATAACAAAAGGCATGATTGGTGTTAGAAACCTCATTAGGCAAAGGAAAGAAGATATGAGTGCATCCTTTTTATTTTATTCTTTTTGTAAAAATGTTTGTTTTACCTTGAGAGTTTGTGAGGAGAATCCTGCCTAAATCAACAACAACTAGCATTGGGTCTCCTGACTGGAAGTCATCAGGAAAAATCACCTGGGGTGCACAGATGTCCAGTTTCATGGTCCAGCGCTTACTGTTTTCCTGCAAACCCAACACATCAGTACTATTTAGAAATTATTGACACTTGTCACATGTCATCATCCTGTGAATCTCTCTTACAATAAACTCTCCCACAAGTAGCTGATCAATGGTTTGTCGGATCTCTGCCTTGGTCTGCATCTTCAGCTTGTTGTACTGCCTCCGAGCAGCCTCTGCCACTCTCAGCTCCAGCTCCGACTGATACCCAAAACCTGGGGATCAAAGAAATGTGCTTAAAATATAGTGATCTTAATCAGAGGACTGTCCTTCTGTGGCTTTCTTCATCAGTTCCATTGCTGCTCACTACTTAAATTTCTAAAGTGTTTGAATTGATTGCTTTTATAATTGCTTTTTCTGTACTTACCTGAGGTGTGAACTCTTCCTTTATAGAAAAACTCTGTCACTTTTTTGATAGCTTGTGGATTGTAGATGATGTTCAGTGGACTAGTGTTCACTTCCAGTTTTCTCTCAAACTTACACCGCGCAGGGTTACGCTCATAAATCATCTCAAACACTGGTGATGACAAGCATTCTGAACTGCATCCTAACAACACAAGAACAACACACACAAGGTTTCCATCAAGAGACAAACTTCACAGTGAAAGCTGAAGTATGGTGCCTAGCTCTTCATACTGCCACCTACATCTGATTATTCTCATATCAATACTGCACAAAGATGCTGAGTCAAAGCCCTGTTAGGCCCCCCTAGTGGGGGGTAGTGCCATTAAACATATAAAAATGTTGGATGGAATGAACATAATGAAACAGATAAACAACAACAGCAAAAATCAGCAGAAATCTCCTTTTGAAAGCCGATACTCAGCTACATAATGGCCTATACAAAACCAGGTTAGTACACTTGTTATAGTTTTAACGTGGTAGTCACAAGGTCACGCTAAAAGCATCTTCTAATGTTATTTAAACTGTGGAAATATATTTTAAAAAAAGAATCTTACCAGAGGTACTGCTGGACTGGCCAGATGGCTGATTGATGGCAAAAACAACTTTGTCCTACAACAAATGATAAAAACATTGTGTGATACAACATACGGTGCCTGAGGAGCTGCACTCTACTTTCTCAAACTTGTCTTCACATTATGAACTCCCTGGCCTCCTCTGCTTACCGTTTTGGGCGACACCAGCACAGGGAAGATGGTGTCCTGGGTGGTCAGGTCTCTCAGGAACAAGCCACCCAGCTTAACAGACAGCAGGGAGGACTCGGAGCGAGGCAGAGACTCCACAGTCACCTTCACACCTGTGAAAAGGTGGTCACGGTAAATTAAACAAAGGTAGCAGCGCATGTGCTCTGAGTCTATTGTAACATCAACATGGGAGAAAAATAAAAACCACCTTCAACTCAGCGGTTCACACTTTGTACAAGTCATTTTTGACAACACAGGGAAGCTGATAATTATCTAGCACTCTTTAGTCCTTCACTGATCAGTATATTGTTCTAAATAAACATAAATAGTGACAAAGGTCCAGAATACCTTAGTTTATCTGACCAACATTTCAAACCCAAAAGATATTTAGTTTAGCAAACCCACATCATCTCAGTCCATCACATTTGAAAACTAGAAACTGAGAAATGTTGATATTTTTCCTTGATGAAAGATTAAATGATTATCAGAATAGTGGCACTTAGGTTTGACATGTATGAAATAAAATCTGTCATCTGTCAGAGCTTTTCCTAAACCGATGCACCAAAGTTGATATTGCATGTTGTGGGTAATGGTGCAAAATAAATTAACACAGTAGTCACACAGCAGGATTTACAGGATATTTGCATTAATTTGATGAAGAATCTTTACTTATAAGGTCATTAAATTGACTGAATTATCCCCACCCACCAAAAAACAACCCTTGAAATAAGTTTGCACCTGTCCTGAAACTGCTTTTCTGTACCTGAAAATTCCAGCTGGATGACCCCACTCTCATGCAGCGTGCCCTCGCGCCTGTCCTCGTGGAAGAGTGTGACTCCGCCCTTCTCCAGAAAGAACTCCAGCCGGGCAAACAGGTGGTCTCGCTTGGTGAACGTGTTCAGGGTGTGAGAGTCCTCCAACGGGTCAAATAGGTCTTCTGTCTCTGCTGGAGAAGCATGATGTGTTCAGGGTGAGCAGCCACAGTCACTACAGTGTCTCATTATACACACATATATCATTATAACACAATATCTAATTTGTTATACAAGAGTCCAGCCTCATTCTAACAATTATCTTAAATTACCTAGCCAAAAAAAATCTTTTATTTGAATAAAACCAATGTTGTGGAAGCCACTTCTGCTACAGCTTAGTTGATTTTACACCGAGATCCAGCTCTACTGCCGTTCGACCTGAGGGCGGCATATTCGCGAGCCAGCCTGTGAATTCAGACAACAGGCCAGCATTCCGCACCAGAAGTGGGATGTGCCGTTGCTCTGCATAAACTGTGATGTAAATTTAGTGCCGGTAGTCTACAAACCAAAACAACAGCGGCAGGAGGAGAGGTAAGTGCAGGTGTAACTTTATTGGCTCTTCAAGCACTTTTTCACTTCATGCAAAATTGGTTAGCGTGGCTGTTGTTGTGTGTGCGAATGTCATGAGCAGCAACTGCAATCAACACGTTTGTGACATCAGGAATGCTTTGACCAATAAGTTAGAGAGAAGCTGAGAACAGTTTGAGGCAGAGTGGCAGGCAGACGTGAGACGCCGGTGATAGTGTCGCGTACATATTATGTCATCAAAACGCAGCAGCTGGTCTAGGACTGTCAGGTCACAGAGCGCGTCTTCCCTTTATTTTGCCTCTGGTACTAGGTACTACCTCCCAAGGCGGACCAGAGGCGGAACAAAAAAGGCCCACCATTCCAGCTTTGTGCCGTACACACAGAAAGACAGAATAAAGGTGCACCAATCGAGCCTTAAAAAGGCAGTGTGTAAGGGGCTGTTGAAACTGACTAAAGACCATCTCTGGCACCAGACAGGAGTGGGTCTCCCACCTAGAAGATCCCAGGAGGACGGACTCGGCAGGAGCTCTTCAGGCCTGTCGGGGTCCTGGGCATCTCCATACCAGCCCCCCCAGCCTGGGAACCAAGACGACTGCAAGTACTGTATCATCCCGGCCCTGCCACTCTTAGGGATGGATGTGGTGGGCGGACATGGCTGGGGGTCGCTGCTGGGCTCTCGCGCATTCTGGAAGAGGAGCCAGAAGAAGAACACATACTGAAGCTGTAATGAAGACACATTTAGTAGATCAGATAATAATTGAGAAGCCATTTGTGTCTTTTGTGAGGTCACAAACAGACCAACAACTGAAAGCAAAATGCAGCTAGCAGGAGTTTAACCTAAACCAGAAGGGAATTCTCCTTCCACACAGTCGACACAGATCATTTATGTATTGGAATTTAAATTTTATACACCACTGAAGACCCGCAGGAATCATCTTACCTCTGCCATTTCTTCCTGCTTTCGAAACCAGTCGTGGACAATTTCTCGGAGAATCTGTAGCTCCTCTATCATCTGCTCCTCTTCCACTCGCTCCAGTTCACTCTGGGTGACAAACATCAGTAGAAGATACCAAACTGAGTCAGCATAGTGCATCACACCAAAGCTAGACAACGAGGTTTTATGCTTCCAGTGTGCTTCATCTGAACTGCTTGTCAGGATGGTCGAATAGCTTCAGAAACCTTCCGTCCCTGCACCTTTCTGATGTTGGATAACAAGAGGCTGTGTCCAACCTTTTTTGGCTCTCGTTTGACTCGGTTACTTCTGCCCCTTTCCACATGACAGCCAAGTGCAGCACTACCTTTGCTGCCATATTCTCAGCTATTCTCAGCTTTCCACTCCGCGTTCAAGTGTGGCCGTTGAGATCGGCTGTAAACACTCTGGATTTCCACCATGGTCGGACAACACGTCTACTTCCTAAGGGAGGTAATGAGCTATTACTTTCATTACATTACCAATCTACTGATTATTTTCTTGATTAATCATTTACAGTAATCATCTACTCTGTAACATTTCTAGTAAAGTGAAAAAATGTCCTTCAGTTTCCCACAGGCCAAAATGAACTCATCAAATAGCTTGTTCTGGCTGACCAACAGTCCAAACCACATTCAGTCCACTACCAGAGAAGACTAAGAGAACCAGGAAATTTTCACATTTATGAGCCTGCAAGAAGAGTTGCAAATGATTTTCTGTTGATCAACTATTCCATTCAGCTCTACAAAACCTTCTGAGTTTCTATTTATGAGGTGCAAATGTCTTAAAAATCAAACTCAACATACAACTCCTGGTTGGGGAAGCTTAGAAACCCCCATGTTGGTCCTCTTTCAAAGACCTGTGACACTGTTAAGTCACATTTATTATGACCTGTTCTATCGAAAAGAAAATGGGAAACAATACAGCATCAGTATTTGTTAGCTGTTATTTCTCGAGCTCAGTTTTTGGACTGTGGTTAGTGTTGTGGTCTGTGCTCCAGTGTAGCACCTCTTCCTGAGGACTCAGTGGGACTGCTTTGAGCCTTCTGAAGTAAAGGCTGGTGTAGGTCTGGGCGTCTCGTGCCCGCTGCAGGACAAAGTCCCAGCTGCCTCGCCGCCGCCGCTCCCTGATCTCACTCAGGTTGGCCTGGATGGCAAACGTCCACCACTGCCGACAGCTGCAGGGGAAACAATGTTCAAGTCTGTTTTCAAAGAGTCAGAGGCTTATTACAAACGTGTAGTGAAACACAGTGTGGCGTGGTCTTAAGACAATAAAGACAATAAGTTGGATAAATCAGCTTTTACAGTCTGAATCCGTTTTGTGTCTAAAGAAGTTTGCAAATGTATGAAAGTCAACTGATTGTTGATTCCCACAGTTAGAAACTGCAGTGTTTACACATACAGTGTCAACTTACTTCTCAGAAACAGGGACTTTGGGCCTCCACTTACGGTACAGCATCTCTCTCTCCCGCCGGTCCAGCTCTTTTAGGAACGCCATGATCTGCTGGTACTGGATCTGAGGGACAACAAACACACACTGTCTGCATGGCTCCTGCTGTTTGTGTCTTTACGGTGAAAACTGAAGGACCGAGAGCAGCTTAGATTTAGTTTTAGTGATGGAAATGTGTATTATAGTGAAAGTACTGACAGGTGAACATTAACGGCAAATTGAAACAGGAGCAGATCAGACAACAGAGAAGACAAACTAGAAGGATAGAGAAATAAATAGCAGTTGTTTCCTCCCTTTATTTTGTAAAACATACATAAATTGTTCCCATAACAACAGAAGGGCATCAGGTGCTACACAGACCTGTGACAGGCGTAAGGACATGGGCTCCAGCTGAACCTGGCCTTCGATCCGCGGGGTTTGTCGGGACCTCAGAGGCTCCTTGGAGGCGTTTCTTCTGAGCAGCACGGAGGCACACACAGGTTCAAAGATGTACTGATGCTCATGGCTCTGCATGCACTGGATCATTGCTTCCTGCACAGTGACAAAACACATCAGACATCTCATGTGGAACTGGGACCCCAGATGATGCATTTACATCTAATCTGGATTTACATCTTCCCAGTAGATCATTCAAAAGAACCTCTAATTAGCACCAGCCACAGTTCTCCAAGTGCTCCACCAAGCAGCTAGTATGATGTCCTTCATATGGTGTCTTTCATTAAAACAAATCACCCCATATAAGGGTTAAGTATTAAATTAAAAATGTACCTAAATATTACAACTCTTTCATAAAGTTTAAACTGAAGTCATGTGGGTGAAATCATCTCCTGGTCACCTTTCCCTTTAACTCCACTGGAAGTGCAAACAACACATCACTGTCGTTCAGTGATGCTGTGTCTGTTTTAAATCTGGTCTAATTTAAGATGTGCAGGCAGCACTCCCAGCATTTCACACTCTGTGTCCCAGTAGACACAGAAGCCTTGGATCTCCAGCTGCTTCTGTCGGAGGAGCTTCTGCACCTGCCATTACAAAAAACAATCCTGTTAGCCTTAAATGCAAAGAGCTATGGTAGTCCTGAGGAGTCAGCTACAAATTAAAGACCTCATGACCACAACAGACAGATCTCATAAACATGAGATGCTAAGTCATCACTACAGGAAAACTTTTTTGGTGGATGCAGTGCGGTTGTGCATGCAGTGCATATCCATGACCTACAAACAAAAAAAAGTTATGCAATGTGCTTTAATGTTTCAATTCTCACAGTCCACTTAATGATTAGGGTTGAGGTGTTATTTCACATCGTCAGCTTACACAGCGAAAGCTTACCGACTCTTTGGAGGGGTTCTGGGCAGAAACGTTGTTGATGCGAACCCCAAAGGAAAATGGTTTCTCTGGGTTGGAGGTGTCATCTTCAAATCTGAGATGTACATCTTGGATCTTCAGCTACACACACAGAACCAAAGATCAGTGTATAACTCAGGGTCAGTCAGTAGCAGCTACCTGAACACTAGTTCATGTGTAATTAGCTTTCTTTTATTTGATACCTTTTATAACATTAACCCACAATGTTGTGCTGATGAACTGTACAGTGTGATCATTTTAGAGGATGTAGTTTAGGCTGCTGCTGAACTGTGTTGTTTTATACCCACAGCTGTTTTGAAGTTTTAATCTACCTTTAGTGATAACAAAAATGGGATGACAATTTACTGACTTAGTGTAAACAGCAGGGTTGTGTTGTTTGAAATGACTGAGAGAAGACGCGTCATTTGTAAACTAGTTCCCGTATCTAACGTTGCATGACTTACCTCGATGTTTTCCACAATCCTGGTGACAACTGAGGCAGTGACAGAGTACCAGTACGACTCTCCTCTCTGCTCACACTCACTCTGGACAGGAAAACACATACAGGACCATCATATATGTCCAGGTCAAAAGTAAATCTACAACACAATAACGTCTGCAAACGGTGAAGGGCTCTAAATCATTTCTGAAGCTACCTTATGTACAATGTCAACAACGATAAAAGATAACTATGTTCAGCAGAAATTAAAACAATAAAACAACGAATACAGATAAAGACAAAAAGATCAAGCCAAATAATTCAGTGGTGTTATTTGATTAAGGCCACCTGTTTTCCTGAGTGGGATTGGGTCTGCTTTGTTTTAAATCTTACAGTTCTGACCATATGATCCATTTCTGATGCTGTGAGGAACAATCTGATACCAGCGCTCACTTTGTCAGATTTAAAATAATAGTTCGTGGAATTAACTTCAGTGGAGGTGGTGTGAACTGGAGAAGTGCCACGCTGCACGTGGCTCCGAGACAGTGTTTGTCCACCTACTTTAAATCTGTCTTCGAGAGCCCTGAGGAGGCGTTTTTTGCGCTCTCTCTCCTCCTCTCTCTCCCTCTCCCCGTCGTACTCGTGCTGCTGGGTGGGGCCGATGATCAGGTTGAGCTGGGACATGGAGATGACCCACGGGTCACTGTGAGGCCGGTAGAAAGGAATCTGGAGAGTAATCTTTCCAATGAAGCCTGGTCAAAGACAACATGGGTCACACTAAAGGAAACAACCTGAAGGTGAATACAACCATCAAACTCTGAATCTTGATTAATATTTAGAAATAATTCTACTGTATCAAGGGGTGGGCGGCACAGTGGAGCTGTGGTTAGTGTGCAGGCAGTGAAGAGTGACGTGCAGATCAAACCCCAGACTTTCTCTTCAGAAACTCCCTCTGACTCATTTCATTTCAGCAGTGAATGCAGCTGTGCATGCATAAAGAAGAATGCTGCCTCTGAGGCTTTGCATTAGAGCACATGTCACCAGGCGGGAAAATCCTCATTCAGTTCTGCTATGGAGAGAAACTCTGATGTGGGGGACACTTGGAATATAGCTTACAAGAAGCCATAAGAGGTTCACTGAGCTGAGAGTTCCTCTCTGGTCTGGTATCTGCAGAGCATTGTTCTTCTTGTCTATGCACCTTGATAGTGGGTGAAGTTGTGCCAGAACTTTCTGCTGTATCTGGAAAATATCTTTCTAACACTCCACATGTTGTTTTTTTTCCCACTCGCTTGTGACCCATCTGCAATATTCTGTGATTTGGATGAACTGAGTTTGACATTTCCACAAGACCATGTAGGATTTGCCAAAGCAAAAGTTCAGTTAACCAAATCTAAACATGTTTCACAGCTCTACTCCAACAGACAGTGCCTTGATTTATTCACCAAACATTGCTGACTGTCTTCCTTTTTCAGTCAGGTAATGTGCTGTGTCATTAACCCACAAGCTGCTTGGTGGATGGTGTAAAGTACCTACAGTAAACATGTGTAATAAGTGATCTGGGGGAAATGCATGGGCCAATCAAAAAGAGTCGATGACTTTGGTTGTAGTTTTTGTTGGCTTTGTCACCGTGTCTCACCTGCTTTGACTTCAAATGGTAGGTCAAACTCTCGGAGGGCATCCTTCCTCAGAGGGAGGTTCTCCAGCTCCACTGCACCTGAGTAATGACATGAAGCAGACTGTCCTATCCAAGCCTCACTTTCACAGTAAGAGCCAATAATCAACCCCCCAAAAATTATTCTAACCATTTGTTACACTGTGTCTTAATGACTGTCAAATGTAAAGGACCACGCCACCACTGTCTTTAAATGTCTTAACGCAGTTCCTACAGTTGCATACAATGAACTGCCAGTTTAAAAGGTACACTAAGCTACAGTATTACAGTATAACCAATGGAGCCCAATGCAACAGCCCTGCACTGAATCCTCACTGTTTCAATAAGAGGCCCACTATTATCATTTTACTGGATGTAGTGTCTGCTTGTGTTAAACTGCATCATGTTATACTGTTGGGTGTTTCCATTATTTTGTTCACCCCATTTATATCAGTGAGGGGAAATAACAGAAAAACCTCTTTGTACATTGCGGTCCAGTTGAACAGCAGCACAACCTGCAGCCTCTGCAGTGATCACACAGGTGAACCAACACCTCTCGTCATGAAGGAGGATTTACTGCAGGACTGTTGGGTTAGACCGACTCAGTTTGAGCTCAGTGTACCTAATAAACTGGCAACTGGGTCTATAATGTCTTAACTTACTTTGAGAAAAGCAAAAATGTCCCTACAAGCAACACCGAGCATGTAAAGGTTTACCCTTATTTTCTTCTAATGTCACTGTAGTGTAGTCCACCAACATGTTCATGGAGCAGGGTGCAGCAAACACTACAGCCTTAAGTCCAAAGTCGAAGATTTTATATCCAGCATTCAAATCATTTGCACATACGCATATATCCTTTAGTAAATAAGTCTTTGATGGTGATTTTAAAAAGTTGAGACTTTTCAAACTGTACTTAAAAGGAGAACCCATGTTCACACTGATGATTGCTCAAGCCAAGTGGAAGGGGAACACATTCAGCCATGCTGATCGCTGCAGCATGCTTCGTAAAATAATCAGCAATAAAAAGAGAAGCGTGTCTAATCACCTTTCAGAAGGGCAATGGAGAGCTGATCTGTGTTCAGGTTGCTGACATACTTCCCCAGGTATGTGTTTAGTACCCAGGCAACGAGGCCCTCCAACATCCTGCTGGCTCAGGGATGATGGGAGCTACTCCAGACTACAAGAGGAAATTATGACAATGAAAATGTCCGATGTCTAATCAACACAGGACACAAATTCTATTGTGTATTCCATCTGTTTCAACAGAGCAGTTTTGGGATGCAATAAACTGATGAAAACTCTTGTCTTTGTTAGGTCAAACACATTCTGATCACCTGCAGTAAGGAGCCATCATTTGCCAAAAAGGTATTATGTTCATAGCTACACTTAGTAAACATTTCAGTGTGATTTTAAAGACATCAAAAAATGTCTGTTGATAAATTCGACATAAAAGACCTAACAAAACCTTAAGTTTACTGTCTCATTTTACAGAGATGTAGGGAAGCGTGTGTGTTTTTCAACCACAGTGAATCATCATGGATTACTGTATCTCTTAACTGGTAACATGTCTCTGCAAATGCTCAGTCATCCAGGTCATAGTATGACATCACCGATCAATCGTGAGGCTGATGAAGCCTCTTGATTGATTGACTGATTGATGAAACCTCTTGGATGAGAGGCGAAACGTCTTCTACATAAAACTACGTCCAGATGCCTTCTTCTAAATGTATTCAGCTCTTAACTGGTACGAGCCCTGCAGATCATTTAATTAGCAACAAATCTAGTGCCGTGTTTAATCCCAGTCGATAGCTGACCAAAGGTTGCCTTTATTTACCCAACGCTGGCACAGTGCCAGCAACTTCAGGACACTCAGCTAAAGTTAGATGTTAGCCGAGCAACATCATGACATGACCTGACTATGATTTCAGCGTTAATAAAATCGACAGTACTGTTTAAGGACTCACCGCTTAAGACGAAAAGTTTCAGTTCTTCGTCGACTTATAGACACAGCGTTTCCGTGTCCATGTCGACGCCGGGTTAATGCCAATGTCAGAAGGTGATCATCTCTTGTCAAACCAAACAAGGCAGGATGAATGCTACAAGGGACAGTTAGCCTCACATGAAGCATAAATTATTCTGTGAACTGTCAGGCGTTAACTAGCAGACATTAGCTAAACTGGGGCAAAGTGAAACTGATAACCCACCTACTGAAACACAGTCACCATCAACAGACAGACCAAAATTCGGCCTGGTTATGGTGACGGACAGGGAAAGAATGTGGTGCACCTAGTTTAGATAGCCGCTTAGCTAAATCTAGCACGCGCAAGTTGAGTGCTCACGGTCAAAACAGTCAGATGGCGATAAATCCCACACAAATCCAAGACTTGATGACTTCGTTTTCATAGAAAACACAGTTAATCCTCAAAACAAAGGAAACGCTACTGTAATTCAAGACCTCAAAGTTTTGTGTCAAGCATCGTAAATAAACACACTTCCTGATAGCGTCAACATCCAATACACACTTCCTGTCACGTGACATAAACAAACCCGGTGTTGCGTTGAAATCAAACCGGTCATTTTTGGGGGGGCGGTGTTTACAACAAAAACGTAATCATGTAATGAATAAGAAAATAGAGGAAAAAGAAAAGAAGATAGCTCTGCAGACCTGCTTATTGGACTACTATTGCTGTGAGCGCATTTCCCTGATATAGGCCCCTATATATCTATTTGAAAATTGTTACAAACACTTTAGATTTAGCATCTGAATGTAACATACAGCCATGAGTTTTCCAGGTTAACGAGACTGCAATGAAATAATGAACCAGCCTGAATAGGCTTAAAGAAAGAGACCACAAACACCACCTGAGCAGCTACAGTAGTAGTTATATGACCTTTTGTTTGCAAAGAGGCACAGACCTGTTGGAACCAAAATTCATATTCATATTTCTGCTGGAAAATGTGTAAACTGATGCGTTTAGTATTTAGTGAAGCATATTATATTCATGCAGCACATTTTCCCTTGTAATGAAATCAAATCATGGGCAGAACGTGACAGTGTGATCAACTGAATTTCTGCTGTATTAAGTCACTGTGAGTCACAGCCTGTAGATACAGGCAGTAGGTTATAATTATGCATCTTGTCAACAGCACTACATGGAAACCCTGAAGGAATCAACATTTAATTTTACAGTAGATGAAGGACGAAGCATTGGTGTTGACTGCTACTTGGTTTTATCTGAAAGTACAAAGTTCTTCTGTAAGGAAAAAGGTTAAAAAGAAAAATTCTCACTGAAACAACTGGTGATAAAACTCAGAGCAACAGATACAGCGTTGCATGTGAAATAAAGTCTGTCATTGATGTTTTTGTCCTACATGTGACCTCCGAAGAGCTGACCAAGTCAGACTCGGGGTGGTACACCTGTGCTTTGGGCACATCTTTGAATCCAGCTTCATTCTAGGAGTTTGTGATCACTGTTACTCAGGCTGAGTTTGAAAGCCATTATTTTTTCTAGCACTTAATTTGTATCTACAGTAGCATCTCAGTTCTCTGATCAGGATTGTTCTGTCTCAGTATTGACATGGTGTCTGAGTGTTGTCTTAAACTTCCAAACCTAACTGGACCCTGTAATCTTTATCTGCAGCTGTCCCATCAGTTCTGCTGTTCCTCCACAAACCGAAGACAAACAGGAACTCAGAGAACAAGAACATGGAGGTGAGTGTCTTTTATTATTTTTTCTGTCTCAGATTTTCATGCCACTGGTATTCTTTATTTATGCTGCAAGAAAACACTGGCAGCAACTGCCAAACCTGGCACATTAGACTGGAATATACTGTAACCACAGGATTCAACAGATTGGTCTGCATGCCTCATTCTCAAAAGACCTCTAAGCTCTGTCCACAGGAGAGGAAGCAAAGTGACACAAAGGAGATTAAGAGTTGTTTGAACTTTCAGTGTGTCAGCTATGACAGCCGTCTTCCAGCGTCCACCTGTGAAGACTCCATCTACCAGAGCCTCGATCCAGCCAGCAGCGACCAGGACCAGACCTACTCCACTGTGCACACATGAGCCCATGTGACTCTGTTACTCTGCAGAGTAACAGGTGCTTCATTATTCACATGTGCAGTAGCTGTAGTTTTATTAGTACATGCAAGAGTGTGAGATTAGGAATCTTAGTAATATATAATAATGCATATATATTTACTTCAGTGCTGGTGATATCAAGCAGTTTGTTCAACAACCCAACCTCTACTGAAATACAGAGCTTCTCTGCTGACATCAGAGGAAATATAAAAAATGTAACTAAACATAAGGTTTGTTTACCTTCAGGGAAAAGGAGTAGTGGCAGCTCCTGTTCCTTCTGGGGGGACCCCACAGCCTTCCCAGGCTAGATGAGATATATAATGTCCCCATTGTGTTCTGGGTCTACCCCAGGGCCTCCAGTTGAATGTGCACAAAACCCATCTTAAACAGATACCCAAACTACCTCAACTGGCTTCTTTTGACACAAATGAGCTACGGCTCTAATTTGAGTTACCTTCGCATGTCTGAACTCTGCACTTTATCTCAAAGGCTGAGTCCAGACACCCTACGGAAGAAACTAATTTTAGCCCCACGATCTTATTCACTTGGTCCATATCCAAGCTTGTGACCATACAGTAGGTGAGGACTGGAACATTGACTGGTAAATTGAGAGCTTTGCCAGCATCTGCATTCCTATTGATGATGCGCCAATCCGCCTGTCAATCTCACACTCCATTTTATCTGGGGGTTGTAAACAAGACCCCGAGATGCTTAAACCGCTTCACTTGGGGCAGCAACTCATTTCCAACCTGAAGCGAGCAATCCACTGTTTTCTGGCAGAGAACCATGGCCTCTGACTTGGAGGAACTGACTCTCATCCCTGCTGCTTCACACTCAGCTGCAAACCACCCCAGTGTGTCCCTGGGGGTCACAGTCTGATGACGCCAATGGAACTGCATCATCTGTGTAGTGGCAAATGCCTGTCGGTGGCCCAAATTAAATCACAGACAGATCACTACAATTCCAATGATCATTTATTAATACAAAAATATCAATAGGCAGCAGGTGGGATACAGAATCACCTTGGCAATTTCTCTGCAGAGAAATTTTGTTCAAGTGTGAACAATCAGTCCTCTCATCTTTCTTCTGTTTTTTCTCTCTCTGATTCTCTAGTTTTTTTTACTATGTCCTCCAGACAATGTCCAATCAAATCCCTTCTGTTATCCCTTGCTTTTTATCCCAATTCTCAAACTTAGTTTCTTAAACTCCCTGTTATGGGAAGCTGCTCTCTAACATGTTTACTCAGCAGGTCATCTCCATATCAAGATGACCCAGTGGCCTAAACAAACAGGCCATGAACCCAAAATGTTCTTGCTTGAGCACATGCAAACATTTAAACAATTTACACAGTGAGCTGACAGAGTACAGAGGGCATGCAGAGATTATATAAGCATTTTTAACTTACCCTCATATAACTATTAATTATTGACTACTACATATAGTATTTATATGTAATCATTTAAACAATTTACTACTCTATTACATATTACGTATTAATTGTAGCTATATTTGTTTTAGCCACTACATCTGAAAAAAAAAAAATGAAATCACAGTAACATCAAATAAACGAGCTTGGACTCAAAGATGAGTCATTTGTTTTTTTCCTTGTCCAGCCAGTCTATTTACACAATTATTGACCATGTGACTGGACACATCTTACCCCATTTAAATAAATTCCTGGTGTCTGGTTGACACCATCAGTTTAAGTCTTCACCTAAAACCAGATCTTCTAAAACCATGCTCTTCTCCAGACTCAGCTCCACACTGTGTAAGTACACAACTGGCAGTGGCAAAAAATAATTGTGGGTTCATAGAAAAACTGAAAGCACAAACTTTGTTCCTAAACAACTTTTGCATTGTTACTAAAAATCTTTCATTATATGTGCTTGGTCAAGGGGGATTTGTTGGGTTTATCTATAATATTAATAATAGTAAGTTCTAGACCTGACTTTGTAAAGTGTCCTGAGATGACTTTTGTTGTGATTTGGTGCTATACAAATAAAATATAATTGAATTGATATTGGATTCAGTGATATCTGAATAGCAGCTAAAAAGAAAAAGGTAAAACCACCTAAATGGTTGCTAATGCAAGTGAGTTTAAACCCAATTCTGCCTTTGATTGTTCCTCACTAAAATAGAAAGTGTTTTTATGTCAAAGCCTTTTCATTTCTTTTGCTGTAAAACACAAAAATATTTTTGATTGATCTATGAACTGGTTGCATAGATGTATCAAATCAAATGTGTTTTGGCTTGACAAGCTAACTTTGCCCATCTTATAAAACAGCGCTAACAGAACATTATCACAATAAGAGGTGTGTTTAGGTTTCAACTGTCCAGTCCAACTGAGATGACAATTAATCATCCCTTTTTGTAATCTAAAATACAAAAAAACATGCATTTAAACACAGGAAGTTGTTAGATTGATGTTTTCTGTGGTGTTCCCCTTACAGAGCGTCACTGTAACCAGGTTTCATCTATGTCTATGAAACTCACCAACACTCTCTTATAAAGTCTTTTTTTCTAGTAATCTCTGAAAAAAAAAAAAAATGAAATCACAGTAACATCAAATATACGAGCTTGGACTCAAAGATGAGTCATTTGTTTTTTTCCTTGTCCAGCCAGTCTATTTACACAATTATTGACCATGTGACTGGACACATCTTACCCCATTTAAATAAATTCCTGGTGTCTGGTTGACACCATCAGTTTAAGTCTTCACCTAAAACCAGATCTTCTAAAACCATGCTCTTCTCCAGACTCAGCTCCACACTGTGTAAGTACACAACTGGCAGTGGCAAAAAATAATTGTGGGTTCATAGAAAAACTGAAAGCACAAACTTTGTTCCTAAACAACTTTTGCATTGTTACTAAAAATCTTTCATTATATGTGCTTGGTCAAGGGGGATTTGTTGGGTTTATCTATAATATTAATAATAGTAAGGTCTAGACCTGACTTTGTAAAGTGTCCTGAGATGACTTTTGTTGTGATTTGGTGCTATACAAATAAAATATAATTGAATTGATATTGGATTCAGTGATATCTGAATAGCAGCTAAAAGAAAAAGGTAAAACCACCTAAATGGTTGCTAATGCAAGTGAGTTTAAACCCAATTCTGCCTTTGATTGTTCCTCACTAAAATAGAAAGTGTTTTTATGTCAAAGCCTTTTCATTTCTTTTGCTGTAAAACACAAAAATATTTTTGATTGATCTATGAACTGGTTGCATAGATGTATCAAATCAAATGTGTTTTGGCTTGACAAGCTAACTTTGCCCATCTTATAAAACAGCGCTAACAGAACATTATCACAATAAGAGGTGTGTTTAGGTTTCAACTGTCCAGTCCAACTGAGATGACAATTAATCATCCCTTTTTGTAATCTAAAATACAAAAAAACATGCATTTAAACACAGGAAGTTGTTAGATTGGTGTTTTCTGTGGTGTTCCCCTTACAGAGTGTCACTGTAACCAGGTTTCATCTATGTCTATGAAACTCACCAACACTCTCTTATAAAGTCTTTTTTTCTAGTAATCTATGCTGTTTAACGTCTGCAGTGTTCGGTCCTCTCTGTTCTGGTGTTGTTATGTATGTGTCTGAACTGAGCAGACACTCAATAACAAAGGGCTCTTACAAAAATTCAAGTCTGCAACTGTACATGTTAATAAAATGTTTAAAAAATGTCCAAATGCTGTACAGCCTTTTTCCAAAAGGTCAGAGGTCAAACCATCCACTGGCAGAATCTTCATGATGTCCTAAAGAAATGACAGAGTTATAGTAGAGTATAAACACCAGAAAAGGTGTTTTTAAAATTTACAACTGATCTATAAATGTTATATTATCCATTAAAAATATTATATTAACAACTGAACAACCAGTTTGACGGTGCCTTATTTGAATGTGATAGCAAAAAGTCAAAGTCTGAACATTTATGAACTGTAGAGGTTAACTGACTTTCCACGAGTCAAAATCAGTGATTACCTCCACTATGAAGGGTTTCAGAGGTTTGAGGTGTTTGAGAACGCTATTAAAGTGGATTTAAACAGAAGTAATAACACAAACAAACAAACTTTTAACATGTGTTTCTCTTTTTCAGTGCTGGCAGCAACATGTTTGCTTATGGGTTCAGGTAAATGAATGAACATTATATGAAAGTACTTGCATATATTGTTTCATAATGTGCCTTTATGTTACGTTCATAACTGTCTCAATCCATGATTGTCACTCATCACTTGGGCATCTTTACAAATCACTGCGCCAACAGCGATACAGCTGTGCACACTGTTTAATGGTTGTTACTAACTGTTTGTGCTACCGCGTCCTGCTGCCACAGCTCCCCCCACCTCCTCCCTCTAAGGAAACCTTTTAAGAAACCTTTGTCTTGTCTCAGAAACACAAAAGCAAGTGATGAACCTGCTGCTGCTTCACTTGTAGCATATGGATGATGATTCTCCTTTGCTTATTGTGCACAAATATTTATTCAGCAAATGTTAAATTATAAAACAAACTTGTCATTCCAGGCTTGTCCACAGCCCAAAATGCTGCCCCACACACTGTGACTGCTTTGTCCACAGAGAGGGTGATCACCTGTGATGACCTCTACAATGTCCATCGCTTGAGCTGTGGTACAGTATTTAAGTTGTTCTTCAGGACAAGTCAAATGGAAAAGCTTTAAATGCTTCATTTGTAATTTTAGCTCTACCTCCTGGAATAGCCGTCCATTTTGTCATCTTTAGCCCCTTTTACAAGGTGATCACAGCAAGCTGCTGGTGTTTTTACCCTCCTTCACAGAGGTTAGATCTAGAAAGATCTCAATAAATTTATGTCTTATCTGTTAGATGTCATCTTCTGTGGCCACTTGCATTTTGTCTCATTAGCTTACATCAGCATAGATCAGCCCACTTTAATTGAGCTGAGCTGGGCAGACATCAGTTTCCATCTGTTCCTAGCAGCAGGGTCATGCTGAGCTCACTTGGTCTTCTGATGGGGGGTTAAAATAATGCCTGGCACCAAGGGCTCCACATTACAAGGCACCACACCCACATCATGACTTATGTGTCACTTCCCAGTAGCTCATACCACCCTTACATGATCAAGATGACAAACAATGGGTTCATGGTACAGTGGAAACACACCTGAACAGGTAGTATTCTCAGGTACCAGGCTGGCAGCCTGGGTTTGCTTCTCGGCTGAACCCAGCTACATGGGTTGCACAAGCCAGAGCACTCCTACTGCCAGTCTCAAGCACAAATATAATGCGAGGGTTGCATCATCCCACATCAAAACATGTACCAAATCACACAGGCTGACCCGGATTCTGCTCTAGTGAATCCTATAGGAGTGTCTGAGAACAAAATGTATTCAACAGGAACAGGCCTGGCAGCCACGAAGGAGATGGTGGAAGTCAGAATGTATGAAAAATTGCCACGTTGTCAAATTTGGTCTTTCCATGGTCTTTGACAGTGTTGCTAGTTGCAACCTTAGCGTTTTCCTATATTATGTTGCTCTGTGGCTCTAACAGTGTTTTGTCTTTGTTATGATGTAAACAGACAGCGGAGTGATCAGTGTGCAGACAGCCCTGTACGGACGCACAGACAGTGAGACGTGCAGTCAGGGCAGAACCACAGATCAGCTTTCCAATACAAAGTGCTCTCAACAGGGCACACTGGATTTCCTCAAGAGAAGGTGCACACATCTTCAAATATTCAAATCTAAACAAATGTGATTATTTTATTCTGATGTACAACATCATTTTATGTAATCAGAGCATTTCTTTATTATGCCAAGACTATCTCACCACATGTTCCACGTGTACAGGGACGGACCCTCATGTGTGAACACTACGTTTAGGCCTTTTCAAGTTGGTCTTAAAGCATTTGAGCCTCAGAAGAACTTTGAGGTGCATTTTTGCAAAGAACAAGGGCTGAGTGTTTTGTCCCACAGTTCTCTCTTCTCGTATATACGGGCAGGTCATTATTGTTAGGTGGGGTTGACGATTGGAGAATGAACCCCAGTGCCACAAATAAAACCTTGAAAATCGGCAAGTCGCCCAGGATACTGCTGCTCAAATCTCTGATAATGGTACTCCTCTCATCGCTGCCCAAGAGGTGGCCACACTCCTGGTGGAATGACAAATGACACCTACAGGGGCAGGGTTCACCTCAACCACCCTGTGCAAGAACCTGTGTTTAGACAGTGGCTGTAGCGGACAAACAGCTGCTATGAGTGTCGAAAACTTTGTGCCACATCCGTGTACAGCCGTAGTGCTCAAACAGAAAACAATGTGTCAGGTCTATCCTCCATGTCAGGATGAGACAGAGGGGGGCAGTATGCGTCCAGCCTGACAGCCTGATTAACATGACATGGGGACAGAACTTTAGGTAAAAAGCAAACATTGTGGTACCACAAATGTGAACGTGGTTACAAGGGAATGAATGAGGAACTAATGGGGACGATCGGTGTTGCACTGTGAAGTACATAAGTACTTCCCTAATATCTTCTAATGTGGGACTCTAAACAATTAGTTCATACTCCCCACTTTGTTCACGAGTCGTTTTTGATCAACACTTAAACACTGTAGGACACAAAATAGTAACTACTCAATCATTACTCATTACTTAATTATGTTAGTTTTGTCAATGCTCCTTTACTGATACATCATACTGATCAGTTAGTAGTCCCTTTACTTCCTGTGCTGTTATGTGACCCCTCACCTCTCCATTACCTGTGCAGCTGGTGTCCTCCTCAGGCAGTGGTACCTTCTGAGTAGTTACTCAGTAGTCCCTCATTACTTCAAGATGACCTCATTGTTACCTACTGTTTATTTATAATATTAACTAAGTAGGTCTGCTTCATTATTATCCTCACAATTACTGTTTCCATAAAAGCAAATCCCATCAGGAGGATTCTGAACAAGTATTTTAACCAAAACGCCACATGTACAGTATCATTCACATCCATATTATTTATTGTATCACTGGAGATGCTTACGCCTTACAAATATATGTAATAAACATAGTTCCTAACATAAAGCTTAAAGACTGAATGTAATCCTGGACCTGTGAAGAAAGGCCATAGCAGCAAACACACACTGCATGTTGACAGGAGGGCCTCGCATTTCTATAAAATGAAATACTAGATTCAGAGCAGCCTCTCCACCCGAGTACATTTCATACATTTCCTTAGACTTATCCAGGGTATCTGCTTCCCTGAATTTAAAGTCATCCTGGGGAAATCTACCTAGAAATGAGCTCTTCATTTTCTCCCTGCAGCTGTGACGGCAAGAGAGTGTGTGAAATCAATACAAATGCTGTTCGTACTTCTGATCCCTGCCCTGGCATCTACAAATACCTGGACACCACCTACGCCTGCTTATTTGGGGGTCAGTTACATTTGTGTGTGTACCTAAAAGTTAAACAAAGCTACAAATAAATGTGATAAATGCAATATGTTTAATGTGTGTTTACTTTGACAGTCCACGCTGTAGCATGTGAATCCTCCATCTTAAACCTTCACTGTGGTAAGAGCAGAACTTTGGTTGGTTCTGTAGTTTAGGTGAAGTAATGTGATTCACACACAGCTCCATCTTTCCTCCAAATATATTACTTTTGTTTCTTTTGTCAGATGGACAGCAGGTTATATTTGTCTACGGGGCTGATTATGGACGCCACGACCAGACCACATGTTCCTTCCAGCGTTCTGCCTCTCATGTCCAAAATGTCCAGTGCTCAGGGCCCACTACCAAAGTTGCTGAAAGGTGCAGTTCCACAGTCTTTTTTAAAATAGCAGGGACATGTTGTCTTATCTCAAAAGATGTTCATATTTCCCATTGTTCTGTGCACATTCAAGCTTGTATTCACTCACTTAACTCTGCATCCTCAGGTGTAATGGGAAAAGGAGCTGTGCTATCAAAGCGAGCAACTCAGAGTTTGGAGACTCTTGTGTCGACACTTACAAATACCTGGAGGTTGATTATGTGTGCCATGGTAAGTCTCAAGTCCCTTTGGGCTGTTTCTCAACTCATATCCAATATGTAGATGAACATCGAAGGTTCATGAGCAGGACCAAGCCTTAACACACAAACCTTTTCTTGTCACCTGCCTACAAATACCCTGCACTCCAGCTGTCAAGTGCTTTCGTTTCTCATAAACCCGCCCATCCTCCCCTTCTGTCCTGGTCTTTCTCTGTCCTCTTCTTTTCCTTTCTACCCTCCTGTGTCTCTCCACTTCCCCACCTCACCCACATCAAAATCAGCCATAAGGAGTGGTCCTGGCTAGTGAAATGGGAAACAGAGTATTTAGGCGATTGTTCGCTAAGCCATCAGTCCCATGATGGAAACTGAACCAGCTCCATGAAAGCTGCCAGATGAGATGTGGTTAAAGACTCTGGAAATGGACTTTGACATAAGATTTAGTTTGACAAACTACTATTTCTAAAGGTCAGGAATAAACATCGACACTCAGAAGGCAGGTTTATAAAATGTTTTCCCCAGAAACAAAGTATTGTTCCATCATTAACTTCATTCATTTGTCTAACGCCAATATTGTATCTGTTCTTTTTGCAGATCCTCCGCTTTAGCTGAAAAGCTGAAGTCACAATATCATCACAAAACACACGCTTGTATATGAAATGTATACTGAAATAATCCAGAAACCAATCAGCTCAAATTCCATACACACCATATGACTGAAAGTATGCCAATTTAATGTGCCTTTAATTAATTTTCTCTGGTACATTTACTTTTATTCTGCTGTACCTTTTTCTATTTTCACTGCTCTACACAAATAAACTTGCTCTGTATTGACAACTTGCTTGGATTGGAAATGAGACAAATATAGTTCAAAGCCAGTTTCCACTGAAGACACTGGGCAGATTATTGTATCACCCTCTGTATTATTTTAAGTATTCTTCTTATAACATACAAACTGTTATTTATGTACAATACTGAATGAAATTAACTGCCCAAAAGAAGCTCTTCCTTGTTCCCATGGCCGTCCATCAATTTTAAAATAATTAAATTAATCGAGTCACACCAGACAGATTTGGCAAACAACAGAGGCCAAGACATCCTGGAAACTGATAAACATCAAAGCATGCAACAAGTGAACAGGAGCAGGCAAAACAAAACCCAAAAGAACCTGGGAAGTTGCATCTTGGCTGAGGAGAAGGGACGGGCAGACTGGACAAAACAAACAAAAGGACAGAACTGTTGCAAATCCATGGTCCAATCACAAACAGAATAATCTTTATTGGCCAAGTATGTTTGAATAAACAGGAGTTTGACTCCGGTACAGAGGCTGTCAGGGACCAAGCAGTAAGGCAAAAAGACACAGCTTCCAAAGTTCAAAATAAAGGGTTTTTATTAACCCAAAAGCAAGAAAAATACAAAATTAACATCAGATAAATTGGGCCCTAAAAGTAGTGATGTGACGTTCCGTATCGAGGCTTCGAAGCGTGTGCCGAGTAGGGGAGGGGGCGTTTCCGCGATGCGCGTATCGAGGCTTGCGTCGTTTAGGGGAGGAGCTGAAAATGATGACGTCCGAAGCCTCGCTGCCCGGCTGTACCACGTGACTGATTCAGGAAGTGGTTCGGATTTTGCCGCG